TTGTTCTTATTCAGTACAGCAATATTGTTGGACAAAGACGATTTATCACATCACTCCACGAATACAGATTTTTAAATAATAATATTAGCGGTTCATTATAAATAGTAGTACATTCGTAATTCAAAAATCGTCCTTGCACAGTGTACACCACCTAAATCGCGCAAAGGTACCGTGAATTTCCATTTCAACGATAATTACTCGTATAACACTTGAGTCACAAAAATTACCCACCCAACCCATACCCTAAACGGCGTGTTAACTTCATAAATTTCCCAGAGTTGACTTTTTCATTATATTATTCAAATAGGTATTATTTTTTTAAAAAAAAATAGCCGGATATACTTTGCACCATATTATAGCAAAGCTTTTATACGGTTATAAGTGAGTAAAAGTTGATAAGATATGATAATATTTAGTTTATATACGGCCAAAAGCAATGATAAATCACTGTGCACACTACGCAACGATTCCTGGTGTAACTCGGTTATCTAACTAGTTCCCGTGACAACAGATAAAATCGTCATACTTTTCGTGTACCCTCGAAAGTACCCAGAAATCAACAACACACAAAAAAAGACTGAAATTTAAAAATGTCTGTATTTAGCAGATTAAGTCCAAAAAAAAAAAAATGCAATATAATATAACATCCTATGATTTTACTGGCATACCTGTCTGTATGTTTAAAAAAGCGAAAACCGTGGTGAACATAGAAACTGTAATAATATTGTATCACTGAAAGTTAATTTTTCAACAAGCATTTTTTTTTTTTTTTTTATAATAAAAAATATAAAGGGCGAAAAGAAAGGGAAAAGTGAGAGCTGATCTTCCGGATACCATCTGGTTATCTACTATTATAATATATTCTCATTTTTTTTTTATTTTTTACAGTCAGATTTTATGAGTTGTTCATATTATTATATATAAAAACAAAAAGTACCTATTTAAAATTTCCAAAAAAAAATTGCATCTCCTGAATTCAACAACTATAAATAGGACAAAAATTATATGGACACAAACTAAAACAAATAAAATTTGATAAAAATTCGTCAAAAACACGAACAGCATTTCAAAATCTTATACATCTAAAAATTAGTAAAATTTCCTATTTAAATGTACAGAAAAAAAAATTGTTTAACCTAGTTTCCACGCAGAATTGGATTTCGTTTTTTATCAAAATCAACGCGTCCAAATTGGAAATGTTTCAACGGCAACAAAACGAATCTAAATTTCATTGACAATAATTTCGACTATAATTTGATTACACGTCACAATACTCATAAATAAAAAATAAAAAAAAATATTGAGATATATCCATCCCTACCCCCACTGAACAATTAAAAACCAAGTTTAGGACTCCGTCATAAAAATTATATTCATTACGGGATGCACTCGTTAAAAGTTCTATAATAATATATTCAATAAACCTACCTAAAATAGCGAAAAAAATGACAAACTTTATACGATAGAACTATTTTTTAACATTATACTATCTTGATTATTATTTTGGTCATTTTATAGAATATAATTTTTAAAATACGCCCAAAATAAATCTTTTACAAACCCAATAATTTATCAGAGTTATAATCATGGAGACGGGGATGCCTAGGTGCCTAATTCTCTTGTACTATTTTTATAGTAAAATTTATTCAAATTTTTGTAAAATTTGTTTTATTAAGTGTAAGGCCCAATATCTACTTAAAGTGATAGATAAACGGCCGTGATTCAGCCAAATAGTCATACATAAGTATTGGGTCGACGGGTTTTAATTTTTGAAAACAGATTTCGATTGACTAACGAGTTTACTAGATTACTGCATATACAATTATACAATTAAAATTGTAATTTTTTCAAAATGTTATATCGATGAACACAATTATGAAATTTTTTTATTTATATTCTTTGTCATAACGCATACAGTTTTCGAATTGTTTAAAATCGTCTCCGTCAAAATCTAGTGAAATTGTTAAATAATCAAAATCCGTTTTCAAAATTAAAATCCGTCAACTCAAACACTACAGTTTTTTTCTAGTTTCTCGGTGTAAATACAATTTCTTAATTTCTTTAATTTATTGTCATCAAGTATAGGTACGTTAGAATTTTTTTATATATATTAAAATGAATACGATACCTCTTGTGTGATTTGTATTTAGATAGGTATAGGCATTTCGTAATTAACCATATTCTATTGGAAAAACGTAAAATTCGAAAACCAGTTTTCATATTTTCAAAGGTCTAACACAAATTTTTTTATCATCATTAATGTATAAAATAATAAAAATGCAAAGCGCTTCCATGACCTTACTCACCCTTTTTACAATACTGTAAAGTATTATTGTACTATTGTACAATTAATTATACCACTTCCAAAAAAAATAATTAAAACTGTTGAAATTTTATCATTCACATTATTAAGGGAGTGATTTAAAATTGAAACTCCCAAAAGACACACCCTTTATACAGCTTAATACATATGAAAAATTGCATCCCCCTAGATTAATTTTATGAGGGACTGTTCATAACTAAAAATGAACGCTCTAATCTCAACAACACACTGAAATACATAGTTTAATTTAAGTAAACTTGTACCACTTCATTCCGCCACAACAAAAATTCCCGAATTTGAGCTGATTTGTTCTAAATAGAACAATACGGTCACACTGTCACTTTTCTTAACCTTTATTTTATCTGTTTATCTAATCAATCTTTTCATTGACGCATTGGGTTTGTTATCAATGTAATTTGTGTTTTTTTTTTTTTTAATATTTAAGATTGACGGTATGTATTAAATAATCAGTTATAAAAAAATCCATTCCCTTTATATAGTAATAATCGGTCGATATATTTTTCTTTCAGAAGACAAGAAAAGTTTATTAATCGATTTTTTTTATTATTTCTAAGGCCAAATTTTGATGTAACTGAGAAGATCAAAATTCATTTAGAAAAATAAGTTTCCTAGGGAACGCTGATTACTTGTGGAACAGCAATTAGATTATTGCAACAAGAATAAATTAGTTATGGGTTCCTGAAAAACGCTTAACCGGAGAGTGTTCATCCGGACTTTTCTTTCCGGATGTAATTAGATTGTTATCGGTTTACCAATACATATACAGGATAAATTTGACAGAGAAGCCATTACATCTACATACTTATTAAAGAGTATAATACGATTATACAGTGATTCAAGTCATAGTAAGCTAAGAAGAGAGAATTAACCTAAACTTAATAATAGTCATCAAAATATTACTGTACATGAAAAGGGTAGTATCACATTACCAAATATAATATAATTATATATTATTCGATATCTGCCTTAGCGGTTTTTCGAAAAGGACCATGAGTAGAATTTAAATCGCACTGTCTGCGTCACTGGATTTTAATTGCACCTACGCAAAATAATTCTTTTTTACAAATCACGATGGTTCACCTTTTATTGAAACGAAATGTATAGGGTACGTGAATTAAATTTTAAAACGCTCTTTGTTGAAAACGATATTGGCACTTAAGTTTTGATTTTATGTATATGTATTTTATATGAATAATTTTTTTAACTAATAATGTATACAATAATGACCTCTAATCATATTATACAGCTATCCACACTAAAATCGGGATCTGAAATAATTGTATGTGAATTTGATTGTAGTCGACAAAATTGAAAACGAATATTATATTATATTTAGAACTGTCTAGACATAGAAATACGCGTTGTGACAGAATAATATTAATACTATTGCCTGGACCGTATCACTGGATCGTTTCTTTAATATCTTAAGTCATCGTTTATATTCACTACATCACTAATTAAATATTGGAATGATTTTGAATATTGATATACGTTAAAACTAACAACGTAGAAGATTAACAAAAGTCAAAAAGAAACTGTACGAAGTTTGTTTTATATGACTTTAGATAACTTATATGAAATAATAGCGTTGTGTTGAACTTGTTCGACTTATTGATAAATAAATTTCACTAGATTTAAAAATTTTCAATTTGTATTATTATGATTATTATTTGATTTTTTTTTTTACAAACAGTCTAAAGTCTAACCTTCTAGTAAATATTAATAGATGACAAGACAACTAAAAAAAAAAAATAGATAATACCTACATGGCATAAGCCAAAAAAAAGGTTAAACAAGTGGGTATCCCAATTGCGACAAATCTTTTTTTGAAAATTTTGACAGGATTTGCTTCTCTGCTAGGCCAGTGATAAGAGGATTTATTTATACAATCCTACTAGAACCATTTTTGGGTGTTTTTGTAATCTGTGCAAGACCGTGTCGTTTTGAGACAAAAAAACTACAAAGGGCGAAATACGTACAAACCAACTTAAAAACTATTGTGTGCTTACTGCCAATTTATTGAAGGTGATGAACTGATAAACGCAACTTCCATTTACGTCCAATTATTCAACATTTGTACTCGCGTAGTGCACAAAAACCACTACAACGATGCTAGATGTTTTTATCCTTGATCGATAATATTAACGATCTGTTAGTCCTTTTTACAGTGTAATTTCAATCGCCATCCACTACACTAGTGTTCTCAAACGAGCGGTTAAAATATATTTCACATATAAATGATAAAAATATGTTCAACATTTTGTTCTCATGCAATTCAAAATATGACGTTTGGCATAAAATTTATGTATGGAACATCTCAGAACCAATATATAATAATATTTTACGTTTCTATAAATCAACCATATACCTATCTAATACTATGATTGGATGAATGGGGAAAAAAAGTTCATAATGGATTTCCGTCGTATGAATAGGATAATGGTCCCTTGGTATAGTAAGTTCGAGACCGCTTCGTAACACCATCAGAACAACACAAATAAAATAAAGAACTTACTTACCGTTCAAGCTTTGCACGTCAGACTATTTAATTACAATATTATATTATTTACCATTTCTCTCTGATGACTCGTTACAATACTTTTAATTTTCAACATTATAATAATTTTCTAATTTCAGGTCTTCGAATCAAAACAAAATGAACGGATTCGGTTACAACGAAGTATGTGACGATTCGACGGGAGGGGATGTACAAATTAACAATGAAACTTCTGTTGCAACAATTAGTTGTAATTATACAATAAACAGTACAGATTCGTATCTGGAACGTGAGTACTCCGACATGTTATAATGAATAAGTTCGAAATATTTCTTCGTAAACATATTTGTTACGCTGACGTTATTGTAACCAAACGTTGTTTTAAGATCAATTTTAAAATATCTAGATAAGTGATGATTGCTTTTGCGCTATCTAAATTTTATTGGAGCTGGATTTAATTTAGACGAGTTGTTAATTGACAGAAAATAAAAAAGGCGATAGTTCTCAACTGTAGGATACGTAGAGTAATTTAATTTATATTAATACACAACGATATATTAACACTAATGAAATGTCGTTTTTCGATTGAGCCAATATTTCTGGTAAAAATCATAATGTATAAACATTTTAAACGCCTAATAAAATCGTAAAGCCGTAAATTTTTCAGTATTTATTTTACTTTTTTCAGATTTTTCCCGATTATTATGAAAACTGCTTGAAAAATGACTTAACTTCTCAGTAACAAGATTTAAAATACAATAAAAAAGGCCTCTAGGAATTTTTCGATTAAAGCAAGGTTTCTGGTAGATAACACAATGTTTAAAAATTGAAAATTATGAAATCGACATCGTCGCGTTGCACAAAGTTCTGAAATTTGAATTAGCTTACATTAATTTATTACCTTCTAAAAGTGAGTTAAACAATTTACTCAAAAAATCAATTCTTATTATTTTTTAAGCACTTAATATAAATCTCAGAATTTTAGTGATCTCCGTTTTTAAGGAACAGTAAGAAGTTCTAGGGCGGTACTATTTAATTGTTTTACATTTTTCACAATCTATTATGTGTTTGTAAGGGTGCTATATTTCATTATTTATTTAAATTTAAATTAATAATTGTAAAATACATATTTTATTTTTTTTTCAACCATGCATCTATAATAAATTCCTCGAATTCATAACTTTTGGATATTTAAATGTTAAATTGGGACTTTTCGGATTCTGGAGAATCCGTCTTTATGTCACGCACATCACCTGCAAACACACAATCGCTTATACACTTATTGTATTATTATATATTATTTAGGCACTGTATTTTATTTTACACGCTATATACCGCGATTACAGGGTATTTCAACGGTTCAAACACGGCCTCGTACAATTTTCCAATACGAGTGTTCTAAAGTATCAAAAATTATATCATATCATAAACATACATGTAGAATTTTTTTTTTTTGAAATACCTTATTTTTATTTCTTATAAAAAACCCGTTTTGTATAGTTTTTGCGTTTACGTCTAAAAGGCGGAAAAAATTTCACGTTTGTATGTCTATGTGTCCGGAAACGGTGCGTTTACGAATGGTAAGGGGCCAAGTCCCGTTTCCGGCTGTCAAAACACTCGAACCTCGCCGACGACAACGGGCTATAGTATAGGTACGTTTTACATTTTGCGCATTTCTCGGAGAAATGCACACGCCGTAAACCCTCGTCGCGGATATGCCGGCTGGTAGATTATTAATTTATAATGAGCCCGCAATTCAAAAACTGCTGTCTATGTGTATATAGTATACTGGGTAGTTCACTAAATGTACTGGCCCCACTATTTTGGTCAAATTTTGCATGTATTCAAATTCTGATTTTTAAAATTTTTAAGTGTGTAGTTAAAGCCAATATTTTCCAATACTAATTTTTTTTTAGAACATTCAATGAATCAGCCTGTGGCGATACCAACGTTGGTTTTTTTAAACGAGAATCTATATATTCTACTTTTAATTATGCGTAGGGAAGAATAGTGGAACACTAATGAAACCCCGGCTATACGGCTACACAAATTATCACTTAACTACTTTCCCCCCAACTAAATTTAAAAATGCAAGAATATCTTGTTAACGGGTTGACGTAAATTAAAAATGTCAACACCAACATTTATTTAAATAACAACACTGTCTATTATACAATTTTAATATAGGTTCTCGTTGGTATGGCCACAGCTTACTCCTCAAATTTTGTGACAAAATCTAAGTATTCGAAAATATCGGCCCTAACTATATTTAAACATTCCAAAAATTTGAATTTGAATTTAATCAAAATTTAATCAAAAGAATGGGGTGAAAACGCTTAGTGAATCATCCTGTATATATTTGACGATCGAACGACGCTCGTCTGTCATCGACGACCCAGTCTATAATTTCCGGCTTCTGGTTTTTTCCGTCAGATTTCCCCCCACCCTTCTCCCTACGACGACGCTGGCACGTTTACACACGTTTCGGTCGTAAAATCGGAAGTGCCAATGACGGTGGTGGTGGGCGCGCGTGATTCCAGAGACGGTACAATAATATTATTATTGTAGTTCCGAATTCTTTTGCGGTTTATCGCATTAATTTCATATAGATAGGTACCGCATTCGCTCGCGTCGAAAACACTCTTCATACGGGAACGCTCTTCGTACGCTTTTCTTCGAAAACCGTTTTTTAATTTCTTTCTTTTTTTTTTCCGCACGCCTATACACTATTCTACCGACTGCCGACACGCACGGCTTTTATAGCTACGGCACGCACACGGGGGCTAGTAAATTTTATTTCGATATATACAAGAACCTATATTATATAGCCCTATATGTACAACGAGGCACGGATTTAACGATCTCATTTTCGCTAATAGGATAGCACGGCCAACAAAAAACTTTTTTTTTTTTCGAATTCTCCACGAAAATAGACATTATTGCACTGTATCGTGTGTGCTATAACATGCAGCGTCTTCACGTTTTCAGATAACACTAAATATTTCTACCGGATGACGTTGGAATTTTATTCCATGTTCGAGATACGATAGAGGTAATCAAATACACACTTTAGAATACATTTCAAAACTTTTACCTATTTCGGTGCTCGCATGTGGACTATAGTTTACTTTTTTTTTAACACCAGATTTAATTGTTCTTACATTTTTTTGTACCTTTTTTTTTTGTTAAACAACTATTTTTATAAATACAGCCATTTAAAGTTGGTTTTTTTATCGATTTTTCATACAATTTAAAACATATGCTATTATGTATGTGTTATTTTATAATTATCATTACAAATAATTATTCTCCTGTAAAATAATAATCTAAATTCCTCACTTTTTGAAGTCATGCATTTTAAATTTATTGAAAAATCATATATTTTAATCAACATTAAATAGTTCAAATAATGTTTGATACAAAAAAAAAAAATAAGTGAAACAAAGTTACTTGAAAAAATTTAAAAAATTCGAATCTATATGTGACTATTCAAAAAGAGTAATCTGTATTGCATATTTGCACACCAAAAGGTTGAGCGATTCGAAATTTAACCTAAAGTGTTTATTTCAGATCCCCCTTATTAACTATCACCTCTTGAAAACAGTATTCAAATCCAAAATTTGAAATATTTAGTGTTACCTATAAACGCGAATACGCTGTATATTATATAATATGTATATATTTTTTTTTTGAATACTTTGACCAGCCCCCTTTAGGCCGAATGAGCTCAAACTTGGAAATTAAAGCTTATTTTCTATAAAGACTATTGAAGAAATAAAAGTCAAGTTGAATTTAAATGTCAGTTTTAACATGTTGTGCGAGGAGTGTATATTTTTAGATTTGAACACCACTAATATCCACTGTGACAGAATTTTGTGCACGCATAGCGTTAATATATTACAAGTATATCAAGGATGTATCTTTGTCGAGGTTCCATTTCTCAACCTGTAATTAGTGTGATCGAATTTCAAATTTGTTTAACTTTTGGAAGTATAGAATAGTTCTAGTATAGTATTAATTATATTTTTATATATTTAGAAATGTAGTGTTGATTCTCTGCTGCGCACGAATCAAGGGTGTTTTTATTTTTTTTATCTACTCATAAACACCGTAAGTGATTAATATAAAACAATAACGGCCATAATAAATAAACGTAGAAAGAACGGACAAATTTGCGAAAATAATTATTTTATTATTTATTATTTTTAATTTTGTTTTTTTAATGTAATTCAGTTCAAAATATTCGTAGAGAAACACTGACAGAAAACTTATATTTATTTTTTCTAGACGTAATAGAATGTTCAAAGCATTTCAGCCATTTTTGGATTGTTAGATATATAATTGTTAGAATAGATATTTAAATTTGCGAGTTTTTAATGTGATTTTTGTTTGGTAAGTATTCTGTGGATACAATTTTTAGACTAAACAGAAATGAATGTACATTTGATAGACGTAATTTTATGAATTGTAGTAATTAGTAGTAAAAAAAAATTTTGTATAATGTAGTTTTTTTTTTCTCAAAGTCATAAATATTACGGTCTTTCAAATCATGTGTAACCAAACTTTGCTCCAAACAATTTTTCATTAGCAATGATTTATTGTTGGTTACAGATATAAATTAAATGTATCCCGCCTTCCCAACTACCCATCTACAACAGTGCCCGCACCCGTCTAGTATCAGCTCTTATTGGTATTTACGTTTTGTTTTACCTCATTACGGATACGGTGACATAAACTGAAAAAAAAACTAGTACAAATAAAACGAAATATTATCAGTAGTGATGAGTTTGGTGACCACTCCGCCGAGTGAATTTTGAAAAAGCCGAGCCTTCATACTTTAACCTTCCAAACAAAAATCCGCTTCCTCTGTCCATTATTGCAATTTGAATGTTTTCGATTACAGCGGTAAAACAAATCATTGAAACTTTTTGGAATTTACACTAAATAGTTTTAACCTGCAGTATATTGTTTTCAATAAAACTACAAATTCGGTTTACATGTTTTAAGTGTGCGCGTTTTAAAATATTTTAACTTCATTCTTTTATTTTATTTTTTTCTTGTCGTTATTGATTTTCAGCCACAATCCTATACGACGTGCCCGTGAGCATAATCGTCCTCTTATCCATGTTCTACGGGACGATCTCAGTGATGGCAGTGGTTGGCAATGCTCTGGTTATATGGATAGTGTCGTCCAGCGTACGGATGCATAACGTGACGAATCTATATATAGCAAATTTGGCACTGGCCGACATCGTTATTGGACTGTTCTCTATACCATTTCAGGTGGGTAGTAGGTATATTTTTATAATATCCGTAATTTAATACCAAATTTGCTAAAATATGAGATTTACTCATTATATTTGATTTTTATCACGTGCCAAATAAATTAAGGTACCTCGTTGCCGTTGAACCACGAAAACGGTAATTTAATCCATCTGCCAACTGCAGCTGTGAAACTGTCTTCAAAACACCGAAGACAATTTCCGTTCATCGTTCATCGCAAGTTTCCATTTTATTCACGTGAAATTCAATTTTGGGACCATTTAAATTTCTGTTTTAGCAGTCGGTCCCTCTAGGACAGGTTTTATGGATAAAAATGAACACATTTTATATAGGAATAAATCACGATCATTCAGAGTGTTGAGCGGTAGACAGAAAAATAGATCAAAAAATCAGAGTAGCAAAAATTATAATCCTTAGATGGATGAGTGAGGTGACAAGAAAAGATAGGTAAAATGATGAGCATATAAGAGGTAGTTTGGGCGAGGAAACGGGAATTAGAGACAGTAAGAATATTATAATAAAAATAATTGTAAGGATAAGGGGAGGAGAGGAAGACCTCGAAATAGGTAGTTAAATGTGATTGAGAATATGAGGACAGTGGGTGTATGCGAGGACGATGTGGAGAATTTAAAATGTGGTTAGCCAACCCAAATAGTTGAGATGAAGGCGAAGTAAAAGAAAATAGTACCTGTATCATGATTGTTGGAGTCAATTAGCCAAAATTTATTATTGCGGTTAAACTGAACGTAGATTGTTATTTCCACCTTATACAACGCACGTAAATTTCAAATTCCCAAATAGGGTTTTTGAAAATTAGCATTAACTTTTTCGATTACCCATATTCAAAATGTGTGTGTATTACTGCTGTTTAGACGTAAATTTAACAAAAGCTGGAAAGCTGAGGCTGGAGTTTTTGACAATTAATATCCTCTATCCTTTCTATAACATCAATAATTAGCATTTGCAAATGCTTTTTTCCACTGGAAAATTAAATGTACCATTACTGTGCATCTGGATAACGGGATCAGTTTTAAACAAATACAAAAAAATACTAATATATTGGGTTTTATGATGTTATAGTTTCAGGCAGCCCTTTTACAGCGATGGAATTTGCCGGAAGTAATGTGTCCGTTTTGTCCATTCGTACAAGTGCTGTCGGTGAACGTGAGTATTTTTACTCTAACCGCGATCGCAATCGATCGTCACCGAGCCATCCTCAGCCCGCTTAGGTTCGTATCTTATGTTCGAAAACCAAAACCAATATCATTATACTATTATATATAAAACTATTTATTTAATTGTATTTTTGTTCATCTACAGTGCAATGCCTTCGAAATTCCGAGCAAAAGTGTCAATTGGCGCTATATGGACGATAGCTTTCGCTCTCGCAACACCAATGGCGGTCGCCCTTCGGGTGACGTTAATCGAATACGAAGACGAAGGTTAGTATAATTTAACTAAGGGATCAACAAACTGGTAAATTAACGGATTTGTCTGAAAAATTAAAAATGTTTACATAAACTACTCATTAGGTTTCTAAACATGAGTTTAGATACCTATTATATTCTCGTTGTGTCCATCCATCCGTCTATCCGTCCTTAGTTACTAGTAGGTACATAGTTACAATTTTTGATTTTCGTAATATTATCATTGTTAATTTTAATATGAGTAGCTTTAGTAGTATAGTATAGTATAATAGCTATAGCTAGTGTATAAATGTATACTAACTAGTATTAAAAAAATATAGGCACATATTATAAACACCTATTTTAAGAATTTTTAAATTATCCTGTCAACTATGAAACACAAATTAAAATATTTAATTTATATAGGTAAGTACACTAAACTTTATATACTAGTCAGAAGCAGTTAAACGACGAGAGAGAGAAGAGAATATATCCCCCATGGCCTCAATTCCTTTTGATATTTATAATAATATATATATATATGTATATAATATATTATTTATTTTATTAATAAAACAATTATTATTCTTATTCTCTCCTTCGTGATTTAATCATTTAACCGCCACAATTTTTTTTAAAATTATACATAGAATAATTAAAATTAATTGTTTAAATTACGTTTAGAAACCGGAAAATGTACAAGCTCACAAAGTGTACTTTCCTAACATTTCTTTTTTTAAAATTGAAACATTAATAACTTTCGGGCACATAGGTCAAAAACTTTCATGTTTCAACCCAGTATATAATTATTTCAACACAAAATAGTGCTAAATTCAAAGAGTTTTTACATTTCCTTAAAAAACAAAAAAATCCAGAACATTTATATTTTCGTTTGCTCCTGAAATAGTTTTATCTTATTCGAATAATACTTATCTCAAATTCTAAAACCGTTTTTGCGTTTAAGACTGGCCTAAAAGAAAGGTCAGATCAACAAAATTTCCTCCCCTACCTTAACAACATTATTTTAGTGAACATTGTAGAAAAGAGGAAATCTCGAAAATAATATTACATAGTAACAAGCCTAAAACTAATTAAATTAAGTCTACAGTTTTCATCCGATACGTTTGCCGGAAATTAATATCACAATGTTATCTTCAGTTTAATATAGAACGGTTCCTTCCGAACAATCGCAATTAAAAATGTTGTACCTATATATATTACTTTACGTGTCCCACAGGTATTTATTTATTTAATGCAGTTTAACCTTATGATACTCGGAGTAGTAAATCTTCGTGGGAAAGTTTGCACTTTGAAATTATCTTGGCGCCACCATTCTTATTAAAGTTAATAATATATATAAGCCGTGACAAGATTTTTTTTTCAAGAAAATTTGAAATCAGTAGTCGGTTTCTTAATAAAAAAAAAATATATTTCATGAAATTTCGCATAAAACTTAATGAGAACGATTTAAATATTTATTTATTTATTTATTTATAAACGCCAGTCGGCAATTTGGTGATTACATTTATGATTTGGTTTACAAGCAATAGTTTTTATAATATAATACTAATATAATTCACAGTAACAACGAAAATAATGCAGAGACAACAAAATATAAATAAGATGGTGACATATTACCACCCTACAAAAATATTAAATTAAATATAAAAACATTACAACTATTCGTACATTTAATATTTATGGTTAAAATCAAAATAAAGGTTATTTAAATTACGAAGCGTTCTATGTAAGGAGTGGTTATTACCGTAGGATGTACTGTGGGCTAGTACTGGGAAGAGAGAGTGATGTCTGGAGGGAGAAGAAGAAAACTTACGTTTGATAGGATATGAGGAGCATTTATGGTGCCTCTTAAGAGTGAACAAATAAATTGCACGTCAGTGTTTTTTCAGCGGGATGAAATTAGTGGAATTTCCAATATACTATAAATTAAGGAGCTGCCGTGTGATGGGTGTGCTATTTTGAGGATATGGGCTGCGTAGGAAAAAAACCTATTTTGGATATGCTTGAGTCTTAATTCATCTTAGGCCAAGTAAGGACACCATAATACCACTCAGTATTCTAATATTGAATGAACTAACGCGGAATACAATATCCGGAGGCCAACGAGCAGAAGAAAAATAAGCGGTGTTACGCTTAATAAATCCCAAGACTTTTAATGCTTTACCTAAGGTTACATTTATGTGATGAGAGAATGATGACATTATGATGGAGAAGATGTCAATGCTTCCTCTTTATGGCTAATATGAGTAGAGTTTTGATTAACGTTTACATTTTGCTGTTATTTCTGAGAAAACAAGATAATCAGATAACGACTTGATTCGCTTATAAACCGCATGGGCTTTCTTTCGATTATGAGATTTTGAGAATACTAGATATCCATTTAGGGAATTTAAAAAATAAAAATAATTTAATGGTAACGAACTTATTAATAGCGCTTAGAAGTGCATCGTTAAAGACAACAGCAGAATCATCAACTGAGTAGAGAGAAAAGGTATTTTTCTAATCAAAAGAACCCAAATATTATAGCATAGATTCATAATCAATATTTGAATAATCTCGATGTTTATGAATTCTTGAGAAGTTATGGTTGATTGAACAGGGAAACATGCAAATAGAGGAGGGTTATATTGCAAATAAAATTTTCAGTGCTGTTTAACTACGAAATATTTATTGAACGGTCTTCTTATAAATATTTATTTTTAATTTTGTTATCGTGTATAACACTTCATAACAACTTTATTCAATTATTTTGTGACTGAGGCGCAATTCTGTACGATCATAAAAACCTATAAATTATAAGTAATATGCCAGTTTCTTCATTCTAATCTTCGTCACCACGATGCACAGCGGTCCTAAAAGAAAAATAAATTGAATTGAACCGTGAAAATTAAAGTAAATTAATACAAAAAATTTAACGTAAAATGAATATAAAGTAATTATATAAATTGCATAGAAAAATACATGGTTTTCTAAGAATTAATATTAAATTTTGTTGTGGTTTTTAAAAAAGAAGTGCAAAATACTGTGATAATCTGTATTAGATATAATTCTATAACTCCTCTTAAAGAGGAATTTAAAATTTTCAGCTGTGCATAAATCTCTGTTTAAAATTTAAGTTTTTTAAGTTTTAATTTAGTTTAATATGAATAAAAATTTTAAGTTGAGTATAATTAAGTAGATATTTTTAATAGTAAAAAAGTATTTTTTTTTTTTTTTTATATTTATAAGCGTTTTAAGCTGACCGCAAGTATATGTATCGAAAGTCGTAAAAATTACAGAATTTCAAAACAAGTATAACCAATATTCACTCCTCGTTAGAAATAAATTGTTCATATTGTCTTTCTATTTTATTTGTTTTTTTACCGCTCTTTAAGAATATAGACTTTCTAATTTAAAATAAACTTTAATTATCTTGTATTCAAAACATTAAATGAAATTAACGGTTTGGAACTTTTCATTTTTTATTAATACCTATTAAATTATTATAACACTGTAATATTTGATACGGATAAAATTATTAAATATAATATACATGGATATTGGATAAAAAAGTGTGCATCAAACGCAACCTGTTCAATAACTGTAATATTACAGAACCGCGATAGATTATCGAACCTACAGTTTATAGAACTGTTTACATGCTGTTTACTACACTAAACAAGTTCATTATTATTATCATTTTAGATTCTGAGGGGTGCGAAAAAGCTTATGGTAACAAAGATATTTATTTTTTTTAAATTTTTTTTTTTTTTTTCCTATGGACAACTTTTGTACCAGAAGTCTTGCTCCGATTTTAAAGTGTAGCACTTTTTCTAAAAGGAAATCAAACTGGACAGATACGTAAAAAATGTAATTTTTTGATTTTCTCAGAAGTTTTCCCAATAAATGGAAAAAACATGGGAAACCGGGAAATACGTAGGAAAAACGGGAAAATAGATACAATATTAAACAAATATAATTAAAGAAGATATATAATGCGTATGTAATTATTTTTACAAAACAACACTATCAATTGAATTCCGCTCAAAATCGTTTTTTTTGTTAGCAATGGTTTATCATTGTTTACAGATATGCATTAAATTTCCCCTCTACTACCTTTACAACCTTTCACCAACAACAGTGGCCCACCCACGTATGAAATATGTCCGTATTTTTAGCTTTTAATAGGCATACTTCATTTATTATACTGTCGCCTCTATTTTCAATAATATTATATAGTTACTATTCGAAAAACTCGATGCAATCGAAAGCTATACATGGTGAGCGAACGCGTTTTGTCTTACCGCTTTATCGAATTTTTTCTTTTTCTAAAGATTCTTTTGAAATATTTAACTTGTGTCATCCGAACAAAGCGCTCGTCCTGTAAAAGGTGGAACCATACGCCATTTTCTTTTAACAGGAGTTATTTTATTTACCAGGGGGAGCCAGGGAGGTGCATATTGTGCAAACGGGACTGAAATACCGGTAATAGAAATTAATTAGACCACGTTCTTTATTTCTCCTCATAAGCGCGTTTTTATAATATTTTGTACTGTGCCAAGTCTATTACCTATGTTACTCTTATTATTTTGCAGACGGCCGGAAACTGGTGAAACCATTCTGCCACAACGTCCGGCTTCCTGACCACACGATGCTGTCGTATAGAGTGACGTTGCTGTTCGTCCAATATCTGGTGCCCGTGGTTATCATCACGGTGGTGTACATGCGAATGGCCTTGAGACTTTGGGGGTCACATGCGCCCGGCAATGCCCAAGACAGCAGAGACGCCAATCTGATGCGGAACAAGAAAAAAGTAACTATGATTATTATTTTATTTTTTTTTTGAACATAATATATCCGATACTACATCGTACATGGATTTTTTTTTCCAACGAAATTCATGGAAATGCAATTTCACAAAAATAAAATTGTTTAAAAATAATTTGCACTGCATTTACAGATAGTAAATATAAGTCGCATAAACCAAATTTAACGATAAACTGGATGGAATATTAATACCACAATCATTAAACCGACCTTAAGTCCATCACTGTAGATTATTCACTGCAGTACGCACGTCAATTATTTTAGGACCCTAAATTAAGGGTCGAACTTTCCCAAAATATATCGAATCGGTATTAAATATTAATCCAACTTACCCGTTTTCATATCTGTATATAATAATAATTATAAATTAATCATCTATTAATTCACTCCATTTACCACGAGAATGGACACGAGATTTCGACAAAATTGACTTCCCGCGCTCGTTCGATAACACACTCAATATTCAATTATCAACTATTTTGTACACTTTCGGTAATATAGTGAATTTTAATCGTAACTACCGTACAATGGTACAATGACTTAAATGCAGTTATTCACAGACAAAAAAAAAGACAAGTATACTTTAGGTAACTAAGATACTTTAGGGAGGTCGTTTTTTGATTTTCCCAGGAATTTTCCCAATAAATAGGAAAAAACATAGTCAAACCGAAATAATTGTAGGAAAATAAGTACAATATTAGATATTTAAAGAATTATTAAAGAAAGTATATTATATATTATTTTACCATAATACGGCATACATATTATTGACAAAACAATACTATCAACCAAACTTCGCTCAGAATAGTTTTTTCGATAGCAATGGTTTATCGTTATATATACCTTAAATTTCTCCTCTTTATTACCTTCCCAACTTCTCACCATTATCAGTAGCTGTACCCGTCCCCAATATCATAGGACATTTTTTTTTCCTTTGAACCGTGAACCGGAGGAATATTAATTTCCTATTACATCCGTGGATAATGGACTTATAGTTATTTGAATATTTGTATTATCGTTACTAATAATATTATACAAACACAGTAAAATTGTAAGCTGTTATATTTTAGAAATAAGACAAATCTATAATAGTAAAAAAATGAAATGTACCCTGAGCGGTCCTTGAGATAAATCGCATTAAAGTAGAGCTTATCTCATAAACCGAAATAATTGAAATGCAGAAAATTTTACTGGCCCTTAGACTATATTTAGGTCAAGTTAGGGTATAATACTTATAATGATATTCGGTCTATGGTAACCTTGTTGTTTTAAAACATCTTGTTATCTTTTGAAGGATTTGTTATTGAAAAAAAATTAAGCCGTAGTTAAAAACATAAATAATAATAAGGTTTGTATGAAATCACGTGTGCATATTCGACGTCACGTAATAAAAATAATACTCGTATGTAGAATTCAAAAACGTTAAATAAATATCCAAACAAATCCTTTAAATCACAACATATTAAAATAATATTAATTTTTAAAAAATAAGTATACCTGTATTTACTTATATTATAATAATGTTAAAATATGGAACATTGCCATTATAGTATTATAATAACAATAAGGACACGGAAGTTGTAATGTCGCATACCGACTATTTTTGTATATAAAGTAGGTAATACCTACTAGGTATATTATATTCACTATTTAGAGCAGATCTGCAGACCATAGTCTAAAACCATTTCTATACGCTTATTGTATTAATGAGGAGTACATAAAACGCGTTTTTAACATATTAATAGAAAAAAAATAAATACGGACATACTTCACACCACAGGTGAGCCACTTTTGTAGCTGAGAAACTGGGAAGGTAAGATAAACAGGAGAATTTAATTTATAATTGTACGACATTATTAATCATTACTAACGAAGAACAATTCTGAGCAGAACTCGGTCAATAATATATTTATTTTTCAACAATGTGCATTTTCACGAAAACGACTGTTTACAAAATACTAAAAGACTAAAATAATAAATAAAAAGCCGGGTAACTTCACACGTGGGTGAGGCACTGTTGTAGGTGAAAAGTTGGGAAGGTCGAAAAGGTGAAATTTAATGTATATATGTAAGCAACGATAAACAATTGATAACGAAAAAATATTTTAAACGAAATTCTGTTGCTAATGTTTCTTTGTCAACAATAATATATATGTCATATTGTGGTGAAATAATTACATAGACATTACTTACGTATATTTTTTTTTATAATATTTGATTAATATTGTACCTATTTTCCATTTTTCCTACATATTTCCAGGTTTTCCTATGTTTTCCCGGTTTCTATCATTTATTGGGAAAACTCCAATTCAAAAAATGACTTCCTCATAGTTCATCCCTAGTCAGATTTCCTTTTAGAAAAACTACTATCATTGTAAATCTGAGCAAAATTGCAGGTAGAAAAGTTGTCCAAAGAAAAAAAAAATCTTTTTAAAACTATAAGCTTCTTGGCTCCATTCAGAATCTAAAACAGTTATTAATGACAACCTTATTTTTAAACTTCTAATTTCTTTTAATCTAAAAACCAATTTTTTTTTTTTATTATCTAGAATAATAATGAAAATTGTATTCAGGTCATGAAAAAAACCTGTTTACAGTACCAACTAGAGCCAAAATAAATGAAAAGGTCTATGACAATAGTGTCATGTTTTGTTTGGAGCAAGGTTTCTTGGGTAAAACGAACACACACAATAATAACAAATATATAAACATCATTTTAAAACTAATATATCCCTCGCTTCAATGTATATTTCTAAATTTTTTTGTATTTCTACACGTATTTTATATTGAGAGCGTAGCTAGTATGTATTAGTTTCACAGTGAGTTTTTTTATTTTTTTTATTTATCTGTGAATAACTTTTCCACCAGAAATCTTGTTCTGGTTTCCAAGTAACATACTTTTTCTGAAAAAAAACTTTATCTGAGGTGGTTCTTTAAAGAAGTTATTTTTTTTATTTTCCCAGGAGTTTTTCCAATAAATAGGAATAATCGGTAAAAATAGAAAAATGTACTAGTAAGTATTACGGCCTTTTTTTTTTCTATGAATAACTCTTCTACTAGAAATTTTCAAATGTATCACTTTTTCTGAAAGTAAATTTAACTGACGCGTAGTACTTTGAGGCGGTATTTTTTGATTTTTTAGCTATTTTCATAATAAATGGGGAAAACGTAAGAAAAACAAGACAATTTACTTAGGTACATGTATAAAAGAAACTTCACTCCTAATCGTTTTTCGATGACAATAGTTTATCATTACTTAAGGATATAAATTAAATTCCCCTCTATATTCTACCTTCCTATCTTCTCATCTACAACAGTAACTCAGCCATCATGTGAAGTATGTGTGTTTTTATAAATATTATGTCATTAGTTTTTTGGAAAAAATATTCAATGTACTTAATTTAACCATAAATACTAGCAACTGATACTAATATTCCACCAAAATTTCGTTTAAATGTTTTTAATATATAAATTTTATAACTACAATGAAAATTACAATACTGACAATAAAATATTTTCAATATCAAACAATCGTGATAAATTTAACCTCAAAGCTAATAAAATGTACATGAATCACTGAATGCAACAAGAGCACATGTTCATAATTTTCATAAAATCACATTCTTATAGATTTTTCTTTAGATTCGACAAATACATCGTTCTACGCCAACGAGACATTTATCTAGTTTACTGGTATCATTATAATTTATTTATGATGTGAATTATTTCAATTATTTTCTTCAATTTTTTCCAGAAATATTAAGTTTGTTGTCTCTCTTAAAAATTTTAAATGTGTACATGTGCCCTTCTTGCATTTAGTGATTCCACATATGGTTTCATAGAATAAAATATATTTAAATGAATAAATGCACTGTATAAAACCTCATTAATTTATATTTATATTTTTTTAAAATATTTTTTATTACCGGCACGATTATTTGGTGTCTTAAATGTGACTAAATGTGTCTTAAATTGTGTTTAAATGTAAAATTTAAATTTAAGAATTTATAGGTACATAATAAAGCGGTTGAAAACTTCGTTGTTGAAAATAATAAAATACCGATATGTAGAATTTCAATTTCGTGCAAATGCAGTAAAACCAATGAAATCGATTTGTAGACATTACACGTGTCACGTACATTTTCAAAAGAACAGTATAAGTACTTTGGTGTACGAATAGTTGTTCATTGTTGTAATGCAATATTGCATACTATGCAGAACGTTCTTAAGACACGTGCTTACCATATTTTAAAAGGATTGCAAACAGTCCGGTTTTTTTTTTTCTGTACCATGAAGGCATATTTTCTTTCCGTAAATCCAATGAATGATACAAATTTATGAAAACATATTTTTATTCTTCGCCTTCCTATGCACAACTTAAGATCATCGCTAAAATATTGATTTATAGTTTTTTTCATAAAAAAACGAGAATAACAAACATTATTTATAATTATAAGAATAGAAGGATAGACAGATTGCGCTCAGACGTCAATTTAAATAAATAAACGAAAAGTGGGAAGTCGTTTTCCCACGACTGATACAATATAGAATCTATATCAATTTCTTCTATTCCTTAATCCCTTTTATTTACTTTAAAAATTTTGATTTGTTCGTTTATGTAGATATAACTGCTATGATAGGCCTTAATATTGTTATTACTAGGAATGAGCTGATTCTAAATCTCGGTTTTTCGGTGATATCAGTGGCGTAATATGAGCTACATCTTGGGAGATGATGGCCCATTTTTGAAAATTGTATAGAAGGAGGAGGGATATGAACTTACTAGTTAGTAACTAAGACTTATTTTCAGAAGGGAAACAAGTAATGTTTAAATTATAAATAGTCATCACAAGTATAATATTTATCTTAAATTTAAAAAAGACCTTTTTAAAGTAGAGAAGTATGTTCAGGCATGGTAGTCGATACGGGCAATGTACATAAAGCTTAAATATAAAAACAGTCAGGGGGGGGAGATTTGAGACCCACCTTCATGATCACTTTAATTTTAAACATCTGTTCTTAAGGAACTTAAGAAACGAATATTTATAAATTATAACACTCTGATTATAATGTTTTATCGGTTCTAGTTCTTATTTTTTTATGTGGTCTCACCGGTTTTGATAATTTTTTTTTGTATTAATAAGTATCGATTTTTTTGGAACAATGCATGATTACTGTATTCACCATAAACGCAAATAGCATTTAAAATTTGAAGGGTCTGAAGTCCTGTCTACAAACGAGAATAATTTGGGTGTTTGTTACACTCGATTTCAAATATTATATACTTTTGCCTTTTTAACTACAATAGAGCTTACTACACTTATTTAAAAATATACTATTTCAACTATAGTCTATAACAGTAAAGTATGTTCAGAACTGTTTATTAAAACATATAATATACATTATACACACATAAATACTTCGGTATTATTATTATTTATTTATTTATTTATATTTTGCCTTTAGAAATATTCAAATCAATGAAAGTAAACAAATTATAGCTACGTGAGATGATATAATTTTATTTCTGTGATTTTGTCGATTCAAATGCGTTATATTGAGGAAATTATTCAACTTTGGTGTGGTGCCTAACAGTCAGTATAACCTCAATATTGTCTACAGATATGCTTTTATATAACTCTTGTGTAAGTATAACATTACAACGGCACAATAATAGCTCTTTTTGATTCCCATATTATATTATTATTATGTACGCTTTTCCCTCTTATCCTCTCCAAATTTGAACTTAGTTTGTCCGTTTTGTCGTGCTACAAATGCAATATACCTAAATATCTACCTATAAGTTCTGAAGGAAATTTACATAGAATCTCTCATAGTACGTAGGGGAAAAGTAGTGCATCACTATTCAAACGCTGTACGTGCTGTGCTTCCACGAAAATAAAGCCTCACTACTTTTTCCCGCACTCAAACTTAAAAGAGGAATGGGTTAATGGGTTGATGGAAATTAAAAATTCAAACACTAAAAATGTATTTAAGCTAATAATCCGTCTATTTATGAAACTTGTATATAGGTTGCCATTTGAAAATCAAAAATAGGTTGTCGGTTCAATCCCAGAGTTAAGGTTAACATAAAAAATAATGACACTGTTACATTTTGGTGCTACTTGTTTCTTAAATTGTTAAAAAAAATGTTCCGAAAAAAGTTAATACTTTACAAGATATCACGATGGTTATATCTTCGAGGTGCACCCTGTGTAGGTATTAATGACAGAATATTATGTTATCGTATAAAATGAACTATAATATATATACCACGATCAATAGATGTTATTTTAAAGCGATTTAACGTTGTGTCGTAGGTATTATAGCATCCGTTACGTATAAAACTCATAATATTCATATAGTTTTCGTAATTTTTAGAAAAAATAAACAGAATTTTTGGGTATAAAGCTAAGTTCCAAAACGTAATTTCTAGCTGAATATTAACTATTTTTCTACGTGGATGAAAGGATATTTTTTAGTGAATATCCACTGTGTCAATCCCCTCTCTCTTAAAAAAAATTTTCACATGACCAAACCTTTTTCTTAACTTCTGGGATTTTCTCATTAACCCTTCTCCTACAGAGTATCTCTTACATAAAATATAATATTTTGTTACGAAATCTACAAATTCAATAATTTACTATTTATTTTCTAGAGCACACAGTAAACAAAATATTTCATCCTTCTATCCTTCTATCCACTTAGACACAAAAAGTCCCCTTAAAAATTCCGGATGATAAATAACGATATTCGCACAAAATCACACTAATATATTCATATAGTAATGGTACACTAACGATTTACAAATAAAAAAATTCCGAAATTTGCATTTAAGAAGGTACTGACGAAACGCAACATTAATTTATTAGTCTTAAATTTTATCTTCGGAACGCAACAGTTCATTATGAACTTCAATGATTATGAATGCACTTTGTAGAAAGTAATAAGCCGTTCTTATTATATATTAGATGCATATGAGATTAAATTCTTCCGAAAGTAATTTACTATACATATATACGCTTTCCACATAGAACGAAACTATATTAATATGTACAGGAAGTTTTTAATAAAAAATAAAAATAATAAAGCACTGTGATTATTATAGTATTATACGTGTACTATTATGATATATTACTTTAAAACTTAAAACTTCTTTAATAAATAATTGCATATATTATTTCGATAGTGCGCACTGAATCTGAAAAACTGAAAAGGAAAAAATGCACACGTTTCGCTAATTAAAACTGAAAACAATCATTAGGCAAAGAAATTTTAAAAACTTAACTTGTGAACTATATTATACGTAAGTATTACAAGTAAATAATAATATCGAAGTGAGAAATGTTTTTAAGTCGGGTTTCCCGAACGACAATATTCTATCTCGATTAATATATAAGAAGTAAACCTATCTATTTATTTTGTTCTTACCCGTTAAACTATATTTCCTACACAATCTGTTCTGGAAATGTGAACCATTAAAAGGGTTCACGATTTTAATTATAGTCAATAAGTTGTATTTTCTAGTAGATTTTAACGAACAACGGTGAATTAAAATAACTATCATAGTTTTTAAATGGTTTAAATGTATTTAAATGCGGTCAATACCATAGTTATTTACACCAGTAGATAACCGGTAGATCAGTATGAACAACTGCAAGTCCCCAAATTGTACTATCACTTTGAGGTATAGGTACCTAATCTATTTATTTCTTAGACTACGCCGAAATTGTCACGTACGAACAATGCAAGTCATGTGTTACATGGTCGACTTAGTATATAGTGTCTAAACTATTTTTTTAAACTTTATTTTTTTTTATTTTTATATTCAGTGATCTGTGTGTGCGTTTGGTTTTTTTCGTAAACTTTTTGGCTCAGTGAATAAACCCGGATACTTGATGGGTTTGAGAAGGCTTAGTGTACCACAAAAGAGGTGGAAAATGTTAAACATTTTCGAAACTCGTTCAAATTTAACGTACCTTCCAACCTACCTTCCACCCAATGCGTTGCTTAACCCCTAAGGAATATTATCAACTTTTTCATGTACATAGAATGAATTTCATATTATTTATATTTATTGCATTAATGATGCGAAATTCTGCAATCGAAGTATATACAAAACGATCGGTTAGTTCGTAATTTGTTTGAAATGTATTCGATAAGAGTAAAACTATGTGTATATTCAGTTCGTCAAGTTATTAAATGACCGTCTATTATGTAATTAAGCTTACGAACTGTACAAGAGATTACATTTATTTTATTTTTTTTTTTTTTTATTTTTTTAATTGCAAAACTTAGTATGACGATGACTTTATTCTGATTAGTCAATAGTTCGAGTAATATTAAGTCGGGCAAATTTGTTCGAAATCAAACAACGAAACTATAGAAATCAATCGAAAATTCCTAATCGAATAGTTTATGGCCAGTGTCAGTTATATCATAAATAACCTTGCCTAATAATATAATATATTATAGTATTGTGTTGAAATTTGCGTTTATTATAGTGACTTTTTGCCGTTTCTCACAGTCGCTCAGCATCACGTTTTACATATTATATACGCGCAAGCACGTAAAATACTACTGTACGAGTCGGAATATCTTATTACTATTCTAATATTATTATTCGAATAATCATTGGAGTCGAAACACTCGAAACGATTCGGATCTTGGCGTATTGATAATTTATTTTATAATATTAATTCGATCGCACGGACTCCGACAATAATAAATTCACAAACGGTGTCATCACTCCTATTACACTGCACCATTTCAACAGCGGATTTCCAATATTATACTTACCTACCGGATACCTCATCCCCCCTCCCATAAACTTAATGGTTATTCCTGTGTCCGTGCGATGTTTATAATATTTGCGTATTGTGCTATGTCGAAAATAAACTTACTTATCATCGTAAATTGTATTGTGTTGTAAAGTCGGACTGCGAACTGTTGTTATTCTGGGGCCCATTCTAACACCGCCAACTCGGGAATCTCGATTCGTACCTAATAAATTCAGCGACCCGGACACAAAAGTCCGTTTTAGTGGAACAGAGAATAATACAATCAATTGGCTATCCCTTTACACTGTAGATAGTTTATAGAATATTTCGCATTATTGACTACCGCAATTATGGCTATTTTATTCAAAAGGAACACGGAACCGATGTGTCAATATATTCGTGTCCGATAAATATTTTACTACGAATTCTGTAGGGGTCAATATTTCCAGAAAAAACTTTGGAAAAAACAAAAAACAATTGTATACTTTTTGTACGTTGATATTTTTGCCTATCAAAATATAATCCACACCAACAAAATCGACTGTGCCGGTTTTTCGTATTCGTGTAAATAAAATTACACAATAAGTACCCGTTATATTAAATTTTCATTATCTTCAGGCATTGATGTAGGCAGATAATGGTATAATATAAAAAAATATTTTTTGAAATACTCAAAAAATAATAATAAAGTATGCAGATGTCTGGTTGTTGCACCGTAAAATTATTTGTCTACTTAAAATGTATACAAATAATGTAATTAATATTGCGTTGTTTAAACCTTGTCATAGGTAGATGTGTTAATAACATATCTTATATTTTCTTTTTATACACTTTATAAAAAAAAAATAAGATATAATAATAAATTAAATACAGTATGACTAACATTTGGTGCAATAACCAGACATACCCGGATATGTCTAGCTGTTACAGACACGGATCCAGAGCAAAGATCTGGGGGAGGGCAACAATTTGTTTAAAACATACAAATATACAAATATAAAATATACATAATGTATATTATTTTCTCTTACATATTAGTGATTGGAATAAGTAATATCAGGATCTCTAGAATTAAAAAAAAAAAATCGTAGAAATAATATATCTGGGGGCTGGGCCCCTAGGTCCCCCTAGGATCCGTCCCTCAGCTGTTGCAACAAAATAAAAACCAGATATCTCCATTCGTACAATATCTCTGTATTTAATGATCGAATTTCTCTAATTGTTGCACCAATCGACGTACCTATATTATTTTTAACAATAAAAGTTGATAAACTGATTTTTGCCAAAATATGGATGTGTCTGATTGTTGCCGCCAGGTCTTCTATAATGTAAATATTATATTCCATACTGCCCATACTGTTGTACCGAAATTAAAAAAAAAAACAAACCAAAAGTTGTGCTATTTAAAACGTATAGTTAAAAAAAAAATAAATATTATTATTATTTTGAGTGCAACTATCTCTTATATATATTTTAAAAATTGTATTAATTTCAAGGTTACCTATTATTCATTGACTAATATAGTCTTCACAACTCTTGAATAGAATTAAATAGATATATTAAATTTTGGTCGTTTTAAGTATAAAGAGAGCGAGGTAGTTTTACGCGTTTTAAAGTAAATGTATCGCGTGAAATTAACACATATTCGGTGTATTATTTCTAAACGAAAGTCAATGCTAACCCCAGAGAGGGGCAAGTAGAGCGGCCACACAAAGCTCCGCAAATTATGTATTCCGAATATCACTTTATCTATAAATAATCAATAATATTGTACCGATATTAATCAAATTTCGACCTATGTACCGAGTGGTTTTCTCAGTACACGGTTTGTTATCGGTGTAAATAAAGATGGGATCAATTATACATATTTCCAGGTTACATAAACGACCAATAACTAGTTATCGAAACGATAACATCATAATCAGATCAATAATATGTTTGGCTGTTGCAAAAACTACTTTTATCTTTTATCGATTCGACAAATAATGACTTATTGAATCAATGATTTAGAGGCCTGATTTTGATTCGATAAGTAATAAAAACAGTCCCATAATTATTTATTGAACTGATAATAAGCTTACATATTTATTTTCGCCCGCGCCACCCAGTAGCCGCTCTTTGCTTACTTGTTGGTTATTGATTTAATATTTTATCCTGCGGTTATGCATTTTATTAGTCCTTTTTTTTATTTTTATTTATTTAATAATGTATTTAAATTCATCATTTCAAAAGGATAATAACAAATAACAACCGATTTATCATTTATTGAATATACCACACTACTACGACCAAGGTAAGTTATCAAATAATTATATTTTATGCAACAGTGCTGTACTATATGGACTCGATAAAGATATTTGCATAATAGTTTATCGAGCCGATAACAAACATTATCGAGCTGCATTTATCTATTGTTAATAAAATATTGATTGTACCTAAGTACCTACTCATTTTGTATCTAATATAAAAATACAATTTGATTAGTTTATGCATAGGTATACAAATTTAGATTTCAAACAAAACCTTAAAGTTTATAAAACTATATGAAAATAAAGTAAGTTCGTTCGAAAATAAAATAAATATAAATATATGAACATAAATATGCATGTGACCCCGCAAGAATCTGCACCAGGCCCCGAAATCTATCGGGCTGGCAGTAACGAAAGTGTTTTCCGAGAAAAAAACGATTTTAAAACGAAGAATCATACTATGCTGTCTTCTGTTAATAAAATATCTTTAATGTAACCGTACAAATTAATAATGCCTGTTATAATCTCTAGGCGAGTAAACATAATAATAATAGTATTCAACGATATTATCCCGTTCAATTTAATGCTGTCACGCGCGAAGGGTATCGAATAGTCAATACGGTTCGTTACGGAAATTAATACTCAACAGTCAACACAAGTATCACTATAATATATTATGTATAAATTTGAGCATTTATTATTTTACGTGACTTAATGTTATAGCTTACATTCGTACTTATAAAATCTGTAAATACGCCTACATAATATATTATATCAACAATTACATTAAAACTGTTATAATATATTATTAAGATAAACTAAACGTGATATTTTGAATGTGCGACGTAAAAATCAAGTTACAATAACGTTATTTAATATTTTGTGTGTTGATAATGGTAATAATAATAATAATATTTACTTCTCAATACAATAGCAATATACATAAATTATCTTACAAAATAAACCAGCTCATACGCATATCTTGTGATAAGGAATGGTGTGTTTAAAACGAGAGTATAATGTAATATATGCAATATGTAATATAAACAAAATAATTACAATAGTAGGTAGATACATTAAATTAACATATTAAATATTATAAACAGAGAAAAAAAAAATGAAAAAACTATCATATAATAATATTATTAAGGTCTAAAGAGTATAAAATACTAAATATAATTGTTTTTTTCTCGATGATTTAAGACGAGATATTAATATTAAATTTGTCGCACAAAACAGTTTCAAGAAAAATAACACTTCTCTGACTGAAAACATTTTTAAAACTAATTCAATTAAGATTAGTTAATTATTTATAACTTGTATTATGCTCATGTTTAATGGTAAAGCTAATGATGTCCATTTTTAATAAATGGGTAAAAATGTTTAATTAATATTTCATAGATATAAGATGAATATTACTTATTTGAATATTTGTATTCATTTGCAGGATAATATTCCCCGCTAAGCAAGCTCGTGTAAGGATACAGACAATAATCCTTCACATAATAACAAATAGTAATCTTAATACAAATAATAAAAAAAAATAGAGCTGAGGACGGATGCGGCCACTGTTGTAGGTGGATAGTTGGGAAGATAGGATACATAAAGTTATTTAATTTATATCTGTAACTAACGATAAACCATTGCTTTATTTTCATCAAAATCTGATTTTAAAACTCTTATAAAAAAAATATATATTTACTACATTGGTACATGATACACAATATTTTCTTTACCATTAAGTACAACGTATAATGAAAATACTGTTAAATTTTCAAACATTTCTGTTTAGTCTAACAAATTTGTCCACAGTATAAGTACCTTGGTACCAAATAAAAATTAAGTAAAAAAAAACTAGCAAAATGTAAATGTCTATAAATAACTCAAAAATGACTTAAATATTTTGAAGGTGTAATCACGTCTAGAAAAAACAATTACAAATTTTCTGTCAAATTTTCAAGTTTCTACAAATATATTAAACAAATTTATATTCAAAAAACAAAATTTAAAATAATAACATAATTATTTTCGTAAATTTTCCGGTAATTTCTATGTATTTTCGGTTTTGTCCAATTATTTAAATAACTACAAAGAAAATTAAAAAACGACTTTCTCTGTTAATGGCGAAATATTAAAAGGAACAAAATCAATCTCTAGTCGTTTTACGATTGAAGTAATATTTCTGGTACAAAACATTAGTTGCAAAAATTAAAAACAATGAAAACGATAAAGCTGCAACACACCGTAAATATTTGCCATTTTACTTATAACTTTATTTTAGGTTTTTTCAATTATTTAGAAAACCCCTTAGAAAATCAAACAATTACCAATTATAACGTGTTTTCGTACCAGAAGTTCTCACTTCTCTATAGCAGGCAAAATATTAGCGCCTACACCTCATGAAAATAAAATCTTTTTTTTTTTTTGAGTACCTACCTATATCATGTATTTAAACAAAATATATGCCAATCAAAATCAATAGAAACGCGACATAATGCGTACAATGTGTTGTTTCGTTAAAGTTTCGATCAGACCTTAAAGTAACTCGAGAACATCATAAAATAATTTGTTTATATTGCTTGTTAGTAAAACCATGTAAAACTAACATACTTAACGGTATATACAAGTATAAGTAGTATACAAGTTCGCGAGCTAATTAATTCTGTTCCCACATAATGTTATAGAAATTAATACTATCTAGCGCAAAACAAACAAAATTAAAATGTGTTATGTTTATTCAATCGAACAATCCGGCTTTTTTGTTTTAATATTCTTGATTTTTATTTATTTAACATTTATATAAGTACCATAGTTCTACCAAAAACATTATTATATTATATTTATATTATGAATATAATATATAGTTTCGTGTAGGTGGTTAGATTCACTACGATCATTTAAAAATTAAAATTTTTTTTTTTTTTTTGGACCATGTTCAAAATTCTGGTTTTACATAGTTATTAAAAAGTTTTTATTATTTTTCCATTTCAGGTAATAAAGATGTTGGTCATTGTCGTTGGATTATTCGTACTGTGCTGGTTACCATTACAAACGTATAACGTGCTCCAAGATATATTCCCGTCGATTAATCAGTAAACGATACATTTTATTTTATCGATTTTATCATACATAACAAAAATGATTTAATGATTATACGGTTTAACATTTATTTTAGGTTCCGTTACATCAACATCGTATTCTTTTGCTGCGATTGGCTAGCAATGAGTAACAGCTGTTACAACCCTTTTATCTATGGAATATACAACGTGAGTATACAGCAGTGTATATTCCTACCATTCCTAACCATTAATTGTGCAATAAAAAAACCGTATTGCACATTAAATTTATTAAAAACATAAAATATTACGCGTCTAATTTGCAATAAACTTTATACAGTCAGAAACATATTCGTTTTATTATCGTACTCTAATCCGAATTAATTTACTTCAAAATTAAATTAGGTACCTAACTCTAGTTTGAAATATTTTTAATTTGTATCGTTGAAAAATAAAGTATTTAAATTCAAAATGTTCAAAAACCATAATAACATTACAACATTTATATGATAATTTACAAGTTACACATAATAATAATATATTAATTCTAGGCACAACTGAAACTAAGATTTTGATAGTTTTTCTTAACGTTTTATGAGGTTCAAATCTTTTTCGATTTCAATTTTGTAATAAACGCTAGTTTTAATTAAGATAGTGTTTTCTCGGAAAACACTTTTTCCTTTTTCGCTTAGTATAAATTACTTATTGGGCTGTCACTCTAAATGTGGATTTCCCATCCAGTGTTGTAGGTGGGTACCTTTATTACTTTAGGTACTTAATTTAAAAAAATTTTCTAGATTCCCAACAGTTTTCTATAAAAATTAAAATAACTGACAATTGCAAATGACGATACATTTGTTTTATACTTGTTAATTTTCAATTTACCTGTAATATTACGAGGGGAAAAACACAACTAATACTATAATCTACGCCGTCTTACAGTAGATTCTACTGTAAGATATCAACGAGTCCCACTTAAAATTGTTTTTTAATAGCAATGATTTACCGTTGCTTACAGTATTTTCAAATACTGAAATGACTAAATTACGCTACATCAAATACACCTTTTTAACTTCTCAACTACAATAATTGTTATTAATTATTAATAGTAGTTATCTATCATAACGCGGTGCAAAGTATAATTGTTTTTTTTTTTTTAAATTTCCATAGACAATTTGACAATAATAACAACAATTATATCATCATAATTATATATTATTATTATTATTATATTCGCCGTAATATTCAGAAAATTATTCAGAATATTTGGAAATTAAAATTGAATTTGTGTTCAACGCACTCATAAATTTTACTGGACCAACGTCAATTGTAATTACCTGTTACCTATATTTATATTATTAAAAGAAAGCATTTAATTATGAAATAAATTAATTATAAGTATAAATATATAATGGCTATTACTTAATACAATAATAAATTATCAGTCTGCTATGTATCATATATTGTTTTACATTCTGTCATAACGATTCGCAAATTAAATATACAAAACGTTTTTCATTTCTTTGTAATTATGAAAAATGCATTATCTTCTCGTAATATTCTAATTTCGCGTTTCAGCATTTCAGTGTTGATGACTTTTTTTTATTTAAATTTCGCAATATTTATACAAAAAAAAAAATTGGCGAAATTGACATTATTATAATAAAATAATGGTATATAAGTAAATTACAACAAAGATAATTGCAATTCATTTTAAATTATGCGCTTTCTTAGTGGATTCCTACACTTGCGTACAATAAAGGATAAATATACTGATACTATAATCCCCTCCAAAAAGTACTTTAGGCCGCATATTTTCATTTATTTTTTTTTGGGAGGGGAGATGGGCTGGGAGGAATTTGTCACTGCGTGTAATTAATAAAATATATTAACATATAATTATGTTAATTGTATGGAACTAGAACAGCTAAAAAATATTACGTTTTCCACCTACCCACATCTTGCAACAACTGGCACCGTACAAGTTCCTCAAATATCTATTTACGCCGGTGCAAACATAACAGTGGATAAAGGTATTAACTAAACATTCGCAATTCGTCACAGATATTACGGGCTGCACACTTGTTTGATACTGTAATAATCTATACAGTTATGTGTTTGTACGAAAATATAAACGGATTCACCCGTATCAGTTCATACGTACCTATTCGGGTACAAGTACAAATGTCAAATTCTGACAATAACACATTATTATTTTATTAACTGATCATGTATCAATATTATACAATATCATTAATCAATTTATAAAACCTCAAAATAATCGACCGTATTATTTGCTAACTATTATTGTACGGCGATCCGTGATACGTCAATAAAATACAATAAAACGCAATTTCGAAAAACATAAACAAACGACACCCGGTACCGGTATTCAAAATTTCGAACATTATTTTTAACATCTCAATTAGGGACACAGCCGGTCAACAGAACCGCAATCGAATCCGATTTTTTTTTATTTTTTTTTATTTGATTTCAAATAACGGCAGGTACAAAACAAATGTGTAAAATAAAGTTAGAACAATCGGACTCTTTCAATAACAAACGTTTCTCCAAATAATTTAACATGGACGTAGCGGGGTGAGTGTTCCTCTTTCCGGGCAAAGAAGAAAAAAAAAACTAATAACAATTAAATGTCTCGGGGCCGGAGTGCGTCGTGTCAACGTCTTTATCCGCTGTCCCCGAGCCCTCCCCTCTCACGATACGGAAAGTACAATTGCACGCGTTATAACGCGCGCCAACACCGTTACAGGAGAAATTCAAACGGGAATTCCGCATAAAACTGCGTCATTTCCGGCGCGGACGTTTCGGGAAACCCAACGCGAGTCACGGGAGGTCCGCCTCGTGCCGGTCCACCACGCTGTCGGAATGGAAACGCGGGTATTCGACGCGCACCCACAGGACCAACGTGAACGGGTGCGCGGCGGCCGCGGCGGCGACGGCGGCGGCGGCCGAGTGTTCGCCCAGACGGGACGAACTGGAGATGTACGTGTACAAGTCGGGCAAGATCACGTTGGTCAAGTGCGGCAGTCATTCGGACCTCGAGGAACTGTGCCTGTGAACGGCGCCGCGTACAGTCGAACGCCGACCGAACGAAACGCGCCCCACACAATAATGACGTTACAATATACCGATCGTTGTAAACGCCGCGTGTAAATAACCATATTGTTGCTGGATTTTTTTTTTTTTTCTATACGTGTAAAATAATTTCGATTATTGTTTATATAAAACCGCGTTCGTGTGCGTGTATGTGTATAAATATATATATATATATATATGTAAAACTAGCCGTGTATACAGTGTGCCCTATAGTGTTATCCGAACGCCAATAACTCTTGTCCGCGTGCATTATTTTTTCTTTCCAATCTGGTTTTGTGTACGGGTGAATACGAATGTAGAGGAAAATTAATAATCACTGAAAACAAAAAATGACTACTTTTTCACTTTTTAAAATTTTCAAAATAGCCATTTCGTAAAATATTTTATTGTTCCAAAAATGTAAACGTATATGCACTCATATTCGATTTATAGTTTCTTATAGTGGTTTTGATGTATAGAAAATAAGCGTGAAAACAATTTTATTAATATTCAATAGAAGATAAAGAATTACCGTGCAGATTGTGATTCCTCATCGCGCAACATGTTATTCTATTGAAAATTACCTAATTGTTTTTATAACAATTTTCTAGGAATTTCAAATGTTCAAAATAAGTGATTAAGGTATGAAAATAAAAATTTAATTTTTTCCGTATATTTGTGTCCCCCCGACACAAAACCCGATTGAAAAAAAAAAATAAACATTGACAGAGTAATTAGCACAAGGATGACACTGTAAGACACTCTGTATTGCAGATTGTCCTAAATATATCGTTTTACATTCGTATAATACTATATCATATCATATAGGCGGACGCCAGACGTTCCGTATTAAAAATTACGATAATATTTTGTCCTTTTTTTTCAAATGCAATAAATGTCCCGACACCAGTCTCTTCGGCACACCAAAATGTCCCATATTATATCCCTTTTTTTGTTCGGTTTGAAATAATAAATCGATCAGTAAAATTGCATAATTTGTTTTAGTTTTTTAAAATTTAACTCCTCCAGTGAACAATTGATTCCATTTTTGGTTAGTATTGTCATTGATTAAATATACAATGTAATATATTTAATCAACGGTATATTGTTATCACCAACAATACCTGTTCTACCAATTTTGTACCATATTATTAAGGCCACTGCAATATTAAAGTCGTTACATCAATAAGACGTTTCAATGCTGATAAATCAATATTGAGTAAATATCGATCTTCTCTTACTGAGAAAATATTTTTTTTATAATTCAACTTTTATATAATAAAAAAAATTGCACGAGTTGAACGCGTTCAATTGTGTAATTATTGGTGAAAAGAAAATAATAGGTACCTAATATTAACTGTTACCTAAATATAGGGTCATTCCTTTTTTAATTCTATAGGTAGGATATAAGAGAAATCAGAAAACTACCTCGCCAATGTACTAACTACTAACTAGATTCAAAATGCTACAAAAATACGCTTTCATCATTTTTTGATAGGAATAAGATTTCTGGAAGGAAAGTTATTTACAGAGAAAAAAAACACACATCATAACGGAACGCTACACTCTGAATCTAAAAAAACACATACAATAAAACCAATACATTCCTCCTTTTCCTCAGAATTCAAAACTAAATATATAAGTAACCTAAATCGTTCAAAAATCAAAATAAAGTATAAACTTCAAACCTACACGTTCATTCATTTGTTAGTCGAGGGACACTACAATTTTAAAATTAATATTTTCACTCCCGATTTGAGTACTGGGCACGAACACAGTACGTCACTACTTATATCATAATGTTGATTTCTTGCAGTTTAAAATATTCTCAGTCCGTTATTTTGGCGCAAGAAAGAAAAATCAAAAAAACCGTAATATGAAGAACGTGACTGACATCACGCATTATAATAATATATCGTCGGTGAATAATAGTGCGGAATATTTAGAGTCCATAACGACATCGCATTATCCCTTTTTGATGTAAATTTCTAGCTAGCGGAAAAGTTTTTTTGGGTACAGGATAATCAATTTGATCGTTCACAATTTTTTCTAAGACTTCGAACTGCCAATGTTATTTTGTCGTTCAGTATAAGTATGTATACAAAACAATATATCTTGATATAATAGAAATTATCATTCAATTTTATAAATAAACAAATATATTGGTGAGTTTCAGTGGCGGATCTAGAATTTTGTTTCTTGGGAGGGGGCAGAGTTTTTCGAAATAATTATTTACCCTGTTATTTATAACACACTTATCAAATAAAATATCATCAAGATCTTTATTAAATATATTATTTTAAAAATTGTATTACTAACTTACAAGTGTTAGGTAAAGTCAAACTTTTGAAAAAGACCAATGGGTTTGTAAGTTATGTAATATATTGACTAACACAAAAATGTGTATTATAGTATCTATTATAATACCTAATATCTATTATAAATCTATAATAATCTCAAACGTCTCACAAATATAAAACAAATGATTCTTTTATTATAATTTTCTGTTAGGTAAAAAAAATGTCAATTCATGTAGACTTGAATTTATGAAGTATCAAGGTAATTTATTAAGTTATGTTTTGTGCTTTAAAATTTAAATACACAAACAAAACAATTAAATAATTTTAATGATGATTATAATTCAATAGATTTCCAATTGTACTTTATTAAATATCATCAATAAAACAATATATAAAATTAGAAAAAAAAAACCGTTTTTAAGATAATGGGAACAGGTGCAGCAACTCAGCAACTATTTTAAGTGGAAAGTTGGGAAGGTAGAATATAAATGGAGATTTAATATATATATACATGCAAAAATTAGCTATTGTTAACAAAAAACCGATTCTGAGCGGAGTTCAGTTGATAGTATTGCTTTGTTAACAATATATGTCATATTATGGTAAAATAATTAAACAATGCATTAAAAATGTTCTTTAATATTTATCTAATATTGTACCTATTTTACCATTTTTCCTACGGTTTTTCCCATTTATTAGGAAAATTTCGAAAACAGTTTTCAGCAACATCATATTTTATTAAATAACTAAAAAAATATAATGAAAACTCCATTTAAACTAAACTATGGTGTACCAATATTTTTTTAAATAAATAACACAAGACATATAACCCACTTGTAGGTAATCAAGCTAAAGTTTTAATTTTGCTGTTTTTGTTCAGTTCATCTTATCAGGTAGAAACTCTTATAACTGACCTATGAATATGTCCAGATTAAAGGGACCAGAGAGAGCCATGACCCTCCAATGTAAAGTGACCATTGTGTAATCATTAATGTATAATTTAATTTAAATGTTCAATAAACATGTTTAAAGTATACAAATGTAATACAATATTTATAAAGAAGGCCTTTTTTTTTAAATTCAGTCTAAAAAGTCAAACTAATAATGTTTTGATTTTATTCTTTGGTCCTCAAATTATTAGGTGTAAATAGTATAAATTAACATTATAATATTAATTCACATCAAAACAGAATTAATGAAAGTAAATCATAAACCAGCTAAAATAAACAAATTTTCTTAATGGTAAGTATCAGCAAATAAAGTACCTACCTACCTGATTTCATAATATTCAAAAATATCTATATCTCATATTCTCAGTTTTATTGGGTAAACATATTATTTAGATAAAAATATAATACATTTTTATATACTAATTATAATCTAGTTTTATTATTATAATATTAAATTAATGGTTAGTGAATATCTGAGATATTGCACTACTACAGATAATTCAGCCTATATTATTTATTCAGCCAAGATAAAATAGGGCAACTATATACATTCATCTAAATAAGTAAATAAACCATTCTCAACACTGCCTCATAAAGTTTTATTGTGACAAAATGCCTTTACTTAAAGAAAATGAAAGATATTTTGTATAGAATATGATAATATTTTGCTTCCATTAAATGACTTTTAAAAAGGAAATTCTAAAGAGCATGATGTCCTGATCTAAATACCTATTTTATTAATATGTACTTAGGATGTTATTTATACATACTAAAACAACATCAGTGCTACATAATACATACAGTAAGTTAATCATTAAATTATATAAATTTTAGACCATTCAACTATTATTATACTGCAATATCCCATTTTTAATATTATATCATTACCTATTCAATAATCCTAATTCCTGATAGTAACTTTTTTTATAAGTGAAAACAAACATTACTACCCTACTACCCATAATCTCATAAAATTAAGTCCAAACAAAACAATATTCATTGTTCAGAAACCATCACATTATAATGTATTTGCTATCTCTGTCTATAGCAAAAATAAGTTCACATAAAACAAACGAAAAGATCTTTAAAATAAACTTTAGAGATACAACACCTATTCTGTACATGAAAAGATTTTAAAGACAACCTCATTAGGTTTTTTTCACATAGTAATTGTTAAAAACAATTGTTATTTCAATAGAAATGTAAAATACAATTTTTTGTACCTCAGACAAGATGAATATTTAGAAAATTATACACTTATAAAGTTCACAAAATATTATCATTGAGTGAATACACCCTTTATTAATTCCTATTATTGAAAACAGCTGACCTGTTTATTTTTGTAATAGGTACATATTTAATTCTATCGGTGCATTTATATTGAAAAAGCTTTTATCAATGATAATAATAATATTATCGAACTTTATATTATAAAATTAGCTGCAAATTACTAATAACAAAAGTTCAAAATTAAAAACAATAATTGACATTATTATCAAAAAATAGATTTTGTTTATTCTACATTATTATACAACTTAAAAGTCAACAATTAATAAAATATAATTTTGAAAAATAATATAATATTAATACCTTATTTTTCTATAAGTTGATAAAGTATACATGTTAACAAGTAGTTGAATTTATTACAACAATAATCTAATAGTTATTTATAATATTTGTATGACTAAAGACTCTTGAACAAAATTATTATTATCTAGCTTCCATGTGTGTAGAAATGAATAAACTGCTCTTTATTGAACTGTACTTTACCTCTTCTAAATGTAAGTTCTTCCATTTGTTTCCAATGCTCAAAACAGAATTGTGGTATCATTATGCCTACTTCTCGGCGGACTGATTCATCTGAATCTAAAAAAAAATAATCAATTATTATAAAATGTAAATGTTTATTAAAATTTATATTATTTTATTATATTCATTTCAGGAATCAGTATTTTTAAAAACTAACTTTGGTTTGTAAAGATTGTTATTAAAAAATGTAAAATACATATTTGAACACAAGTAACAAATTCGCAATATATGCTTATAATTTTATCCTTAAAATTGTAATAACTATTAGCTTTTATTTAGTAAAATTTAAATTTGCTTAATATAATTGACTAAGATAACTTAGTCTGTGCTAAATACACGGATCGGTAATTTTCGTATAATTAGGTAAATTGTCAATATCTAATTATTAATTAATTCAAACCAAAAAATTAAATATATAAGGTGTTTAAGAATGCAATACACTATGTATAAAATCAAATAATTTTGTGTTTATTGTTAGAAAAAATTAATAGACCTATAAACAAATACAAATAAATAACAATATAGTTTTGATTAAGAGTTGAATTTTCAAAAATCCTTTCTTACTGTATGGTAAAAGTATTAGAGGAACCACTATTCCAAATTTCAAGTGTGTACGTTGAGTAGTTTTTGAAACATAACAATCAATGAATAATTGTCTAATTAAGTTATGGTTAATTTTTTCTATTTTTAAAAATAATATTATCTTGGATAATAAGGATTGGATAATTATCAACGAATCCTGGGTTTAATATATTAAATGTTGTCAGTAAACTGAATATTCAAAAGAAAAGGATTGATGCCAGCAGTCCCATGGCTAGATAACTTAATTGTTTTTATCCAGTTTTTGTTAAGCTAATATAATTATCACCTAATATTTTACGACTTCCTTGTTCCTTTATCACTTATTATTTATACCCCCCCTTAGTATTACAACACAAAGTTAAAACAGAATTTGTAACCTCGTAAGAGAATATATGAATCACTAATTGCAGAAAGAGGACGTATCCCTAAAACTTAATTTTACAAAAGACACAAAAAACTGTTTAGACAAGATTGAGAAGCAGCTAGGCATACAAATCAACAAATCACATTACTATCCATATTTTTAAAAATTAATAATCTCAATATTTTCCAAAATTTAACATGAACATTGGCAGTCATTTTAAATTATTGGACATGTATCTTATCTGCATTTAACAATTTTAAATACATTCATTACACAGAGATGGTAATAAATACATTTTTTTTTTACAATGAAAAATTGTTTATTCTTTTCAGCAATTCGTAAATGTAATTATTTAAATAATTAAATAAATATATAAATAAAAAAATAAAATAAATAAACAAATGCGTCGCCTGGAGTATTATGATAAGTGTATTATATGACCAGTTTCATATAAAAAATGCAGGTATATCAGTCAAAATGTAAAAAGCGACTAAATATAAAAAATCAAATAAAGTAATACATAGAAAAAAAAATGTACAAATTGGCCGTTTTACATAAATTTAGAATTTATTTTAATAGGAGAGATTATTTAAAATTAGTTATTATTAGACATAGATATGTTAAGAAATATAAACTATTTGGTTATTATTTATTATCTAAAATGTATTGACATAAGATATTATTTTTAAAATTGGTTTAAACATTTAAAATATTATTAAAATTATTTTTCTTTTTTTCATTGTGTATTTGCAATTCTTCGAAAACTGAATTAATTTAAATGTTATTTTGGGTACTTAATATTTCTAAGTCTGTATTAATATCAAAATCTATATTATGGTTATTTTCAAAATATGTTTAGCAAAATTTGAATTAGGGGCAGTCTTTTTTAATTTTATTTCTGAAATATGTTCTTTATATCTTATTTTAAAATTTCTATTTGTCTTACTTACATACAATTTATTACAGTTACATTTAAATTTGTATATACCAGCATTTTCAAAAGAAAGGAGATTTTTGTTAAGTTTTTAGTTTCATAGTTTATATGTTTGATTAAACTATTATTAGTCTTAAAATCGATTTTACATTATTTATATTATTGTTAAGAATTTTAGCAAATTCGTTAGACATATTATTTCGGTAATTTATACTACAATAGTTAATAACATAATTTGGTGAGTTGTGTATTATTAGAAAATATTAAAAGTAGAGGCTCTACACTTACATCCATTCATAAAATTACATAATCTGATTCATTCATTAATTAGCTTTAAAACTACTCCAGCTTATAACATAACTAAATATTTAGACTATCTCAGAAAAATTAAATATTAATACTGATGCTTCTATAAAAAACACTTATGATTTTATTAATAAAATTAATATTGTGCCAGGAGGTTACAAGATGATTTCCCTTGATGTCAAAAATGTATGTACATTCATTCCTAAACAGAAAACAGTAATAAATTTAATAAAAACGATGTACAAGAAATTATTCAATCAATAAATGTAATTATTAATCAAAACTATGTCCAATATAACAATAAATTATAATCGCAAAAAGATGGGTTAGTTATGAATGGTCCTTTAAGTGGTCTTTTATCTGAAATTTACATACAAAATTATGAAACCAATAATATTATTAACAACAAAATATACAGTCCGTATATAAAAGCATATTATAGATGGATACCAGTACCAACTAATAGAAAAATAAAACAAATAATTGCAGTTTTCAATAGTTATGAACAATACAACTTTCCATGTCTGTAAAAGTTAGTATATTTAATTTTTCAAACAAATATGGTATTTTAATCATCATTAAGGGTGGTTTCTTGTGCCAAATGATATCTAGTAGGTTCAATTGTAGGTCATTTTTTTACTTTTCTTAATCTTACTCTTCTTATTTGTGAAAAACAGGTTACTTTTAAATTTAATTTTGTTTTTATTGTTGTAATTTGATAAAAAATAGAATATTTAAAAATGTATTATCATTTTTAACATATTTAGATAAATTAAAAGAATATTAAATAATTATGTCATTTTTTGGTTTTTTAATATTTTATTATCTTTACATATAATTACATAAACAATACAAATTATATTTTGAAATTTTTTTACACCCTAAAAGGCCAAACAGTACATTTATGGTTATTATAATTATTAATTATACAAGAGATTGTACAGTGTAATATTGAATATTTAAAATCAATTTTTAAAAGAATTCTCATGAAGATACAAAAAGTATTAAATTACTATACACAAGCATAATATGCATAGATATATATACATATGTTTCACAAACCTAATTTATAATTTTAATGAAATATTTAACAATTTCTTATGATGTATTTAATTGTATGAAGTACAATATTATAGGCATGGTTGAAAAATAAGTTAATTAGACCAATTAGATCAATCAGAGATTTGTCATTGTATCTATGATTCAAACAGAAAATTATATACATTAGTCAAATACTTAGTTACCAGATCCATGTGTAGCATTCCTAGTATCCGTAAGCCCGTGTTTAGCTCTAATAGTATTGGGATGACTTAACTGACATTTAAAAACTTTAGTAGGTCCCATTAAACAGCGCCAAACAGCAATTGCGTCTTCTCTGGCCAGCAAATATGCTTCTGATGGTCCGCTAATTTGAACACAAATTGGACGAATATTTGGAAAGGTTTAGGTACTCAACATTTTAAGTTTTATAATCAATTTTTGTTTACCTTGTCATGAACGTCACGAGTCGATTGTAGAAAAACTTAGATTTATGTTCATTGTAAAATCGTTCTGCCTGTTCCAACTTCATAGTTTGACGCACCGAACGTACGACATAAAAACCATTGTCAAGTATTGTACGTCTGATATCCTGCAGATACAGTGAAACATTAGAAATCTAAATAATATGTGTTTAAATACATTATTTTTAATGAACATATACCTAGTAATATCAACCAGATCGGATAGATTTGACAGGCATTCTTAAATATTCTCTAAAACGATGGACCAACTTGTTTATACGATCAATATTAATGCACACGGCGTGTAGAGATTAAAGTGCATTACAATGTTATAATAGTAATAGAAAATACTTACGAGCAGAGAAAATGGACAAGCCACCACATGCGGTTTCATGATGGCTAGCGTTAACTGCAAAGGCCGAACAGACGTCATTTCTTAACTTGTATACAGTCTACTCATTTTTTTTTAATAATAATATCATGCAAGTAATCATGCATACACAATCTTGTACTTGTGCAATGTGTTGTAAAATTATACAAATTTTAGTACCTAGGTACGTAAACTAAAGAAAATGTATGAATAGTATTATAATTTATAATTTACAAGTATTTAGTTGTAAGTACTCGTACTCGTATAAAATATTATCTATTTATTATTTACAATTTAATATCACGGCTATAGATAAGTTATCATTAACCATGTTTAGTACATATCACACATCATATAAATATATATATATATATAATAAACATTTATATATATCTATGTCACAAACTAACTGGTAACGACAGACTGGAATGGAGTGACGGAATGTCTTCCAATTGTTTTGGTTCGATATTATTCGACAATATTTCGTGATTGAAACTGTTACCGGGGGGGGGTAGGGGGTGGTTTTAGAAAAAGTGAGTCGTTCGATTCATACCATCACATTCATCTCATATTTCACGAACTTTATAATCTTATAATGAAAAGAATTTTTGAGACACTGTTATCACTGATATCATCATCATCTCACGAGTATCACAATCATATCACTGATACCACACAACTCACTTTAAAAGAAATAATCTTTCTTAGCAATTCGATAATTTGATAACATGAAAATAATAGAATTATCTGTTTTGAAAGCTAAGTGCTTGTGGTTATACTATTTCATATTTGCTATTTTTGTTTTGAAACTAATTGAAAATAAATAATTGTATATATTTTTGTCAAATTAAACAATAAGTAACCTACCCTTCTTGTTAATGATAGACCGTTTGAACGTTTTTTTTAATGTCTTATGAAGTCTCCTCACTCTGTTAATAATATAACGCATGCATTCTTTGGACAATCTAAAATCCTTGATATATTTTTTGTCAATCAAGAGAAATGGTTCTTCTCTTTTAATTATCTTGAAAATAAAATCACGAAACATTAAGTTTGTGAGTAATTAAAATAATACAAATATAAATTCAAGATACCTAATAAAGAAATAGGTATTTATATTTACCGCATTTTCTATCGATTTTGTATTTTACGTCTTCTTGGGTTTGGCGTTCGGAAAAATAAAGTCATTATGTATAGCCTAAACAATACTTGTAGGTATATTATAATATAATATATAAAATTGCATTATTATAATATTAATGTTGTTTTAGATCCACATAAATTAATGTGCAAATAAAAGGTACGTCATATTGCAGAAACAAATCATATGGCTACTTAGATAACAATACCTATTAGTGTGCTGATAAATACTCATAGCTAATAGTGAAAAATTGCACACAATTTATACAAATACAAAGTATGGTAGGTACCTATCTACTTTTGATTTCGTTTTATCAACCAATTTATTAAAATTTCCCCAATGTGTTGAAAAATGGTTCGAAAGGAGTAAATGGATTTTCATATAAATTACGGGTACGAAGCAAATATACTTTAATACCACCTCGAAATATCGGATTTTTTTTTTCGCAAACCTATGTATTTCAACGTTTTAAAAATTATGGTTTATTGCGAAAATTATTAGTGTTTAAGTTATGTGTTACGAAGTTCACGAATTTCGGTGTTTTACGCATGCGCATAACGCATAGTTTACCGCTTGTATAGCGAAGGTTTCAAAAACCATGTATACAACAGAAAGTATAAAAAAGAAATTAATTTTAATACAATAAAATATGATAGGTATTGTTTTATATTTAATTATCTTTTAAGATGATGTGACACATTATATAACATATTAAATAACTTACATAATAACATAACATATTTAATAACTTATGTGATGTCTCGTGCGTATCACATCTTATCATTACAACAGGTATAATTATGTAACTTTTTATTTTGTAAATAAGTTATTTTGTAGTCAAAATGTTTTAAATACCTACACAGTGACATCAAATTTATAAACAACAATAAGAATATCATACTTACGGAAAAGTATTGTACGAGGTATTATTTTGTCATGGATACGACCAGTCGACGAAAATAAACCGTTAAAAAGCGTAATGTTTCGTATATATTAATGGTTTCGGTTTGATCGTTTTATCATGAAGTAATGCGTTTTACGTATCGATGACTTTTAAGTTGTAATGTAGATTAGCATTTAGAATATAAGCATAGATTTAATATTTAAATATACTGCAGGCTTATGCAACTCCCTATCCTAGATCGTGGTAAAATGTATTGGGCCCGCTCTAGTAGTGTGCTCTCAACACTAGAAATTAATTTGTTAAAACCTGTGTGAATTTGAGAAATTTTTAGGAGTAACCGATCAACCTATTTCACAATGAAATGAATGGGGACACCTTCAAGGATTGGATTGAACATATTTTACCAAGACTAAAACCAAATTCCATTATCGTTATGGATAATGCATCCTACCACTCAGTAAAAATTGACAAAGCCCCGACATCGTTTACTCGGAAAGCGCATATTATTCAGTAGTTAACTGACAAGGGAAATGTTATTGATAGGACTATGGTGATTCTTGAACTGCTCTAAATAGTAAAACACCACGTACGTATGAACAATACGACGTACAAACTGCCAGATGTCAAGAAATTATTAATTGAAGGCGTAAACCGCGTGGACGTAGCGATGCCAACAAATTTTATTAGTCACACAAAAAAAAGAGGAAAAAAAATTGTGACATAGATATCATCATTGACGACGTTTTGTCTGCGGAAACAGTAGATTTGAGGACAACAATTACAGGAGACCCATCATCTGATGAAGATACAGATTTCGACTATATAACAATAATTGTAAATAATATGTAAATATGCCTTCTTTTATAATTTTTAAATACAGATAGGGTTTTAAATTTTTTTTTTCAAATAAAAATATTTTTAATTTTCGTAATGTGTATTATTATTATTTTATAAAAAAATACCCAACATTTAAAACTTGATGACATGTATAGATATAAGTGTATAACAGATACATGCCCAATGACCATGAAAATTACAATATAAAAAAACAAGTCAGGTACAATAGGTACGTCGTGTGAGCGGGCAGTAATGACAATGTAGCCGCGCAGTGCGCGTATCGCAATCAGGCTTAATTTTGTTATTATGATTCTCTGTATACACAACGGCGGACTGTGGCCGCCCGCGATAGCGATGTGAAACGACGCATGCCGACTACAGCAGCCAATGACAGCGTTGCGACCGCCTAGACAGCCGCGTGATTGATTTTTTCCAAACTTATTTGGAATAGAGTATAGCATACGATCTAAGATAATATTTATACGATAAATTTGCGACGAGTATTGGTACGCACGCGCAGTAGATATCAGTCACCTTAGCACTTGTTAATAATGATGTCTTCAACTCGTAGACCGTAGTGTGCGTTTGTCATGCAGTTGCTCTATCCATAGGATATGATTTAAGCTTTAACCTAACAATGAGTAGAACTTGTCATTCGCACTAATCGCCTTCCGTGTAAATTATCCATTCTATAATTTTGTCTACTACTCTTTGGTCTCGAAAGGACATAATGAGCGTACGTATGGCAGTATGGCGTCTGCTATGGCCCTCACATACTCTATGGGGCACCTGCAACGCCATCTATCGAGCGTTTCCATAAACATATTTATAATTAACATGTCTATGAGCGTTTCACTTTCAAGTTTCGATGTTAGCGTCTTGTGATTTTTATTTTTCATCTAACCTCTCTTTTCATCATAATTGATATTGTATCACAGAATTGTATTTGCAAGCATAGACCGTGTTTTTCAATCAACGTGGTTTGTTAAAAGCGATTTGAATTTTCATTATTTTCTAACGTACATATTTTTATTTAGGTAAGTTTAATACCTACAGTAAATATTTTTATTTAGATTTACCAATTAAATATTATATACTGGGCGGCATAACTCGGCATGTTGTATGGTTTATATTATGTATAATTTAGATATAATGAGATCATCATAATAATACTGTGAAACCTCTGAATAGTGGACACCCTCGGTCGCCGAATTTTTGTTCGCTATTCGTAGGTGTCCGTTATTCAGAGGATTAAATTTTTGAAATTTATAAAGGATAATAATAAGTTAAATTAAATGGTATAAATCTGGTTTCGGGCTCAAACTCGTTTTTAAATTATTTTTTTTTCAAAATTTATGTTTTTGCCAATGCATTAAGAATTTAAAAATAAGTGACGAACTTTGTTTAGAAGTTACGGGAAAAAACTTTATGAAGTTCATATTTTCATTTCTCGTATTTCTGAGTGAAAATTTATTATTTTCTATTTTTTTTTTTTCAAATTTTTTTTTTAAATTCCTAATCCAATGGTTTAATTAAAACTTATCTATCATACTGAATTTTGAAGTTATTGTACCTGCATAAACCTTAACAAATTTTTGGAATTAATTCAAAATGTGGTCAAAAATAGACATTTTTTAAATTATTATTATGATTTGTATTTATATTGTTATTTTAATAACAAAGTTTTTTTTATTGAAGTCTGAATAAATCTATCTGGCTTAGTTAGGTATTAGTCTTGGCTATTCGAAATAAACAATATAAATATTAATACACTATTTGTAACACTACAAAAAATGGGAATTCAATATTATTCAATCGATATAAGTAATTTGTATTTTGACTTATAAATAAGTTCTATGTAGAAGTTCTCAATACTTTATACTGGGTTGGATTACAAACCAATGTAATTGTCAATTAAAAAAGTATTGTGTAATTTGAAATGTTACTGTAGTCAAGTTTGAATGAATCGTTGTTCATTATTATAATGATGAATGTTATATATTTTTTTTTTTCTAATGTTTTATTATTGTTATGTATTTACATTTAGGTGGCTGTCCTTTAGTTAAAAATAATATTCTCTCTTAATGTTCAGCTTACAGAAATAATGGATCAATCTAATCGAAAAGTATTAAACAAAAGCCATAGAGAAGAATCAATTGTTAGTGCTATTAATGTGAAAAAATTTCATTCTAAACACAGGTTATTACAAGTCAATTTCATTTTATAAGTTATAATTGATATTTAATAATATTTAAAATAAATTTAATACATATTTGATATAGATATTTAATTTAAAATATCTACATGTATAAATGGAGGTCTACAAGGAAAAATGATAATACTAAAAAAAAAAAAAAAATAAAAATAATAGGATATTTATAATATTATCATTTTGTCATTCGTTTCTAGTCGAATTGATATGTGAATCAAGTTGGGGCATAAAGATCACAGTCAATGATATATCAAAGGTTTAAATATACGGTTTAATAAGGTTTAAATTTAATTCTGAAACTTTAAAACTGCAATACTGAATGTTTTAAGAATATTAACTATTATCGTTTTTCCATTATAGCCCTTTAAATGTTTCATTACTTAATCTACAAAGTATCTTAATTTTGGTAGTTTTAAAGGATGAAAACACTTATTGTAAAAAAATTAAATTTACAGAATATGTATTTTTAAAAAACAACAGGTTTTGATGTAATTGGTATTATCATTTTAAAATTTCACTTTTACAAATTTCAACTATCTACATAATATTATTTTCTTTCAGAAATGGGGCCACACGTACATGCCAGGGTAAGATTTCTGGTAGAATTTGTGTACATAGTATATATATAAAAAAAAAAAAAAATAAACATGATTAAACAAATGCATTTCTTGATTCGCTCAAAATTTAAAAGATCTGATACCGGGAATAAGTATGTCACTGCTGTAGGTGGGAAGTTGGGAAGATAGGATATATTAAGTTATTTAATTTATACCAGTAACAAAAGATAGACCATTGCTCACGAAAAACGATTCAGAGCAAAGTTCAGTTATATATGTTAGAATTACAAAAAAAAATTAAAATTTAATATATTGATACAATTATTTTCATAAATTTTCCCATTCTTTATATTCTACTTTTAATCGGTTGAGGTACATATGAAAGTTTTATCGGTAAATAAATTTGATCAAATTTAAAAAAATTCAAGTGTTATACAATAATTATTATCTTCTGTTGTAATCGATAATAATCAATCAATTATCAATGTTTCTTTGATTTTTAGTTTTAACTCAAAAAGAAAATTAAAATATAATTCACCTAAGGTTGTTTATAATGAACAAATTATCCAATCCACTGATTTTTCTGGGCCAACAAATCAAAATATGAATAATCTTAATGTTCTAACTCAAAGATCAGGTAATTTACTTTAAAAAAAAATATATACATAATATTATATTTTTTTTTATTGAAATTATAATTGTAATTTATTTTAGAATTTGTGTATAGTGAAGAAGTTATTATGTGTGTGTTTTTATTCTCGGAAACACCTTTTTGATTATTAAAAATGTTCTAATATTTTTTAAATGGTGCACCTTAGAAAATAAGAACTTCTTCAAATGGTATTTTCTTTGAAAATATTGTCTGCAACCTCACCAGTTTTTCTAAAAATTAATAAATAAACTCACAAGAAATGGCAAATATTACTCTTGTAGTATGTTACCTATTATAACTTAGTTAATTTAGTATGCTATCTTTGTGAAAACTTGATATTTTCTATATAATATCATATTCTTACGTAATATGTTACATTTGTATTTAATTTTATTACTGAACAGTACCTGTGACCAAGTCATTCAAGTAAAAAAATCTCTAATCTCTAATTATAACTGGTAATTATCCACCAATATAACAAACAATTAATTATAGATACATTATTTTAGTTTATTTTGTGTCCACATGTGTATTTTTGTGCAGAGTTTTACTTTGTATACCTATATATTTTTTTTATTTGTGTATATAATGAGTAAATAAATGCACCATTTGTATGGGCATATCATTTATAGTTAAGAAACGTGTTAACTGTCTTACAGAGAAAAACTTGCTGCTTGATAGTTGTCCCACATTAAGGTATGGTGTTGTATGTGGAGGCATGTTGAGAGAGTATAAAAAAAATAATGGTAAAAGGGACTCTAATGGTGAATTATTAAAAACTACTTATCTGCGATGTCAAAAAAAAGGTTGCCAAACTTACCACTCTCTAAGAAAAAAAATCAGCAATACATCAAGTAAATTTTAATAAATGTATTATTTGTATTATATTGTAATTAGTTTAAGTAAAATACATAACATATAACAATTTTTTAAAATGGTTTTTACAGTACCAAGGCATCATAGTGTACTGAAATGACAATATATCATTATACAGAGTGATGATTTTTTTTATTATGAATCAGCAATTTTCTCTGAGTATTATAAGTGAATTTGATTTCTGTTTCTTTTTTAATCATTTTGGAATAGTTAAAGCTTTATTTATAAACCATTTTTAATTTTTTTATGCCTGCTCGATATACCTTAAATAAGTGTATACTTTTGTTTTTCAAATAGGAACCCCTATTTTTGAACATTGATTCGAGTAGAGAATATTTTTCTTTTTGATATATATATAACACTAATATCAGATTTACTGTTTATGAGTTATAACAGTTTAATGATTAAATTGGATTGGGGAAGAGTAATAAATTGGATGTCTATTATTAAATGATAAATTGATAATTCTTCCCTATTCCTCGAAAATACAAAGGTATATACTTATTTAAGGTATATGGAGTATGGTTAAAAATTTAAAAATGACTTTAAAATAAAGTTCAATTGATTTTACAATGATTAAAAAAGAAACCAAAATAAAATTTACTTAAATTATTCTGAGAAAATTACAGGTTCAAGATAAACAAAACCACTTTCTATACGTTTTTGGTAATTTCTTTTACCTTGGCTAAAAAAGAAAAATATATCTGATAATACAATTGTGGGAACCTATCAGTAGTAACTTTTTTTACTGCTGCTAGTAGCGGTACAACTAAAATTTAAATATGTATTTAAAGTACGGATGGACTGGATACCACTTTTTACTAATATCTGATATTACAATACTCTGATTTTAAAATCTTAGATACATATATATTGATTTAATATTATAATTAACCATTATACTGATTCAAAATTTAATTTTTTAAAATACTTTACACATATTCCAGAGACATAACATACATATTTCTCTTAAAATCTCTAGAAATTAGTTTTGAAAAAAAAAATTGTTATCATTGGACTTATGTATTACTCTTAAATCTTAATTGATTCTAAGAGTAAGTGTAAGTAATTATATAAGGTTTCACTGGGTTAATGTTTATGTGATGTATCTTATCCAGTTCAAATCAAATGATTGTGGTCTTAATTTTTACTTTTTTCTCTACTTTGTTCCAAAATCAAATTTCATTTTTTTTAAATAATTTTTGTTGTTTATATTGTACAAACTGTACAAATAATGATGTTGGAATATTATTAATAAGTAACATACTGATACAAACTAAACGTTTTTATCTCCTGAACAATTTGTAATAATTGAGTTAGTAGACATAGGCACTTAGCTGTCAATATCTAAACCTTACATGTTTTTCACTGACTCGGTTTTTATTTTACACTTAGTAAACTAACTTTAAGCGTTATCATTGGATAAACTCGTTGATGTTTTTTACTTTGTTTTAATAAGTGGTGGTTTTAATTGACTAGGAAGTATGTTTTAGGTTTACATTTCAGACATAATCAATTGTTATATAATGAAAGTTATTAAAAAAATGTATTTATAATTAGGTGACAAGGTTACAAAAAAAATGTATCAAGTTAATTATTCTGCTAATCAAAAGAAAGATGAAAATAGAAAAGCAGTGCATAGTGATATTGATACAAATAGATTATCACCCTTTGAAGTGCAGTAAGAAATCCTTAATTTGTGTTTGATTTTAGATAAATATAAATGTATTAGAAACTTAATATCTAAACAAACTACTAAATACTTCAGTATCAAGGTATTAAACAAATCCAATTTGTATTATTTCAAATTTGAATAATTCATTATAAGAAAAATATTTAGGGATTTTATCTAATTAATAATAACTAATAAGTACCTAATTTCTTCTATAAATAAATATAGAAGAATATAAAACAGTATATACATACTGTTTGATATTTTTATTCAATTTGAATTACATTTAGTATTTCTGGCAAGATGATATTGGATTTAAATAGGGTTTTTGGAAAATTGTGTAAAGTCATAGTTTACTTTTCTTTAATACAATTTTAAAAATGTTTATTTTAGCAATCCTCACCTTTTGAAGTTTGAATTACAATTCAAGTGTGATGTCTTGGACATACTTTATAATAAATATGCTATAATAGCGACAACAGTATAACTTACAAATGAACAAGTCATACATATTGCAGGTTTCACTATCACACCAAGTCATCTTGCTAAAATATTTAATATTACTTGAATAAATGTTTACTCTGTATATATTATATACATAAAAATTTAATTATTATATTGTATATGTAGTTCAAATACAAATAGAATAAAAAGAACTTCAGCAGTTGATAAAAGAACAATAGTTAACAGCGAAATATTTCAAACTAAATGTAAACTAAAATATATGCAAAAAAACCTGGGTATTTCAATTTTATTTATTTAAATTTCAATGTTAATAATATTCTTATTATTGTTTTTTTTTTTATATATATTTATTAAGTTAATTGTGAGCCACATATATTACAAATTAAGGACCAGTGTAGTGATATATATTATAAAATAGAAATAAAATGTTTAAATGAAAATAATGAACAAATTCAAAATATTGAAGAAGCTATGAATATAGAAGAAACAGAAACGTCATTTATCATACATATATCTTCAGCTCAAAAACAAATATTAAACAGTGGTAATTAATTTTTAATTTTTATATAATATTTAAAAAAAATTATATGTTACTAAGCATGTGTTTTAAAAAAAAGGTGGCAGTATTTTAGTTAAAAAAGGTATATTTCCTATTGGTATTAAGTTAACAAAAATAATTGATCAACCTAATAAAAAAGTATCTTACAAAAACTATAAAAATGAAACAATTAGTAGTGTTAGTGATGTTAAAAAAAGATTTAATGTAGAACTTAATGTTGAAGCAAAAAAAGAAATGGATATTCAAAGCTCTCTAATACCAATAAAACTGGGTAATTTATTTTTAATTTAATATTTATCATATTCATTGGTTATAAAACACAAGTTATTAAATAAATATATTTATAATTAGATGATTTGGCTATAAACAATTTTTATCAACTTGCTAATTCTGCTAGTCGAGATTATTTATTGAAAAAAGTTTTAAACGATGTAGTGGATAATGATGTTTATGTGAATATGACTAGATTGTCATCCATTGAAGTTCAGTAAGAAATTTTTAATTATTTATTTGTTTCTAAATTTAGGTAAAAGCATTAGATACTCAATATTCAAACTAATTATTTAAGTATCAAACGGTAAAAAAAAAAATTAAATTATAAGTTTTAGTAATTTAATAATTCGATAAATAGTAAGACCATTTTTATCTAATTACTAATAACTAATAAGTACATTATTTTTTCTATGATTAAAAATCATATAATATACATGTATAATATATGTATTACAGTTTGAAAATAAAATAAAATTTGAATTTCATTAAATATTTTGGCTGAATGGCTACAGATTTAAATCAGGAGGATGATAGAGCAGTACTGAAATACACATTCCAGATTATATTTAAAATGTTAAACTTTTGCTTATGAGTATCGTAAAATTGTTAAAAATTAAAAATTTATATTTTTTAAATTCTTATTACTTTCTAAAATTTAAATTAAAATCCAATTATAATATCTTTTATTACAATAATTATAACAAATTAATCACAATGTACTTATTACAGAATTCACGCTCTAACTAAACGTATGGAAAAAGAACGGGGTAATTCAATTTTTATTCAATATATATTTAGATTTAAATTTTAATCAATTTTTAATTTGTTTAATTTATTAAGGTGATAATTGTGAGCCATATATATTACACAATAAAGATCACACTGGTGATGTATATTATACAATGGAATATATACATGAAAATAATGAATGGATTCATAATATTGAAGAAGTCATGAATGTAGAAGAAACAGACACATCATTTATGATACATCTATCTTCAAGTCAAAAGCAAATATTAAATAGTGGTAATTAATTTTTAGTCTACAATTTAAAAAAAAAAAAAAATACATGTTATTAAACAATTAAACATTTAAAAATATTTATTTAAATAAAGGTGGCAGTATTATGGTTAAAAAAGGTAAACTTCCTATTGGTGTTAAGTTTACAAAAATAAATAAACAAGTTAACCAAGAAGTATCAAACAAAAACCATACAGAAGAAATAAGTCATAGTGTTATTAACGTAAAACAATTATGTAGTGTAGAACTTAAAAGTCATAGACATTTTGAAGCAAAAAATGGCATTAATATTCAAAGCACTTGTATATCAAAACAACTGGGTAATTTTTTTTAAATTTAATATTTATCATATCATTCATTAGATACATAATACATGCTTTTAAACAAATATATTTATAATTAGATGATTTGGTTATAAAAAAAATTGATCAACTGAATTCTACTAATCAAGATTTATCGAGAAAAGTTAATAGAAAAGCAGTACATAATGATATCTATATGAATATGAATAAATTACCTATAGAAGTACAGTAAGAAATTTTTTACTATTTGTGTCTGAATTTATATAAATATAAATGCATTATATACTAAACATCTAAATTAACTACTATATACTTAAGTATCAAATGATAAAAAGAACTAATTCAATTTATACAATTTTAAGTTTTAATAATTTAATAATTCATTAATAAAATGAAAACATTAAGAAATTTGTATTTAATTATTAATAACTATTAAACAAGATTTAAATGTTATTAAATGTTTGTTTTGTTTGTAGTTCTAACATTTTGAACAATTTGTCTTCCACTGTTGATAAAACTGAACAAATGTTTAATATTTCACCTCAAGGATTAGGTAATTTACTAATAACTAAAAATTAATGATGGTTTATAAAAAAAATAATTGTTTAATCTAGCTGGCGGATCAAATACTACAAAGGTGTATGGAATAATTGATTCTTTACCATCTTCAGCACCTAAATCAATGATACAAGGTAATTTATTTTAATTTTAGATTCTGATTGAAGCAAAGAATTAGTTTTATAATGATGTTTATTTTTTTTCTACGAAGAATTGTCTTCTAGAAATTTTGTTCCAAGTAGCAAGTTTGCTCCAAGTTTAGTACCTTTTTTGAAAGCAGTTTCTCAATAATCAGGTGTGTTGTGTGTATCAAACACATGAGTCTAGGGCCCCAGACTACAACAGGGGGCCCAATAATAAAAATTGAAAAATATGTAGAAACAAAATAAAATAATTTTGTTATAGTAATTATTAATGAAGATTGAACAATTGATTGATTTTTGTTTTGTATACATTTTCATACATCAACATTTTTTATAACTAAAATTAAAAATAATTTTGTTGCAATTAACTCCACCATACGCAAACCTTTTTTAATTTTTGCTTCTTCTTTTCCACCTATGTTTATCAGTACAGTTTGATTTCTGTATAAGGTATAGCTATTTTTTAAAATTAGCTATTTTATGCTAATTACTTCTAAGATACCCTACAATTTACTCCAATGCACATTATCAAAGGCCTTCTCTGGTCAAAAAAGGCAATAAATTTGTCTTAAAACCTTCTAGTTCTCTTTTTTATTTATATTCTTAGAGTTATTATTGCTTCTCTTGTACCTATATTTGTCCTGATCCCAAATTGTTCTCTATTGAAGTATCATTTGTGTGGCGGTATGGTGCGCGGGCATGTTTATAATGTACCACTACTCTCCTCTATACTAAACTTAAAAGTGGAATATCTCGTCAATAACTTGACAGAAATCAAAAATATCAACACTCAAATTTATTTTAATTAATAATCTATTTATGGAATTTTTAATATAGGTTGCCATTTGAAAAACAGAAGTATTTAGGTAGAGGTTTTACCTCCAAAAATAAGTGTAACAAAAAATAACATAAATATAAAATTGTAGAGCTGCTTGTTTCTTAAATGTTCTAGAAAACAAATTCCAAAAACAGTTATTACTTTCCAAGATAATGAGTGTATTTAAATGAATCACGCGGTATATATTATATTTTTGATTAACTTATAAACTTGAAATACTAGCATACAAAAATATTTATATTTCCCACATATGAGTAAATCATTTAAAAATATAACTAAAGTTCATATTTTTAATTATTAGGAATCATCATAAGAAATTGAATATAGATTAATATTTAATTAATATAGTCGCTCTTGACTAACAAACCACCTAAATTCCTTAATTTTAGTGCTAAATTCAGACATAATTAATGGCAATTGCCCTTGCAGATTAAAGTGTAAATGGTGTCTGGATCTAATTCTATAGGAGAAAAAAATAATAATAAAAAACACAATCAAAATTAAACTAATCTCGATATAAAGTGTCGCTATTGGGTGGCTACTTTATTTTCATGTATCTCCAGCCATAATTTATTTCCAGATACTAGCTTAATGTAATTATTGATTTAAAAATTGTTGGTTTAAAAATATTTAAAAGAAAAAATTTATTATTGACAAAGTTGCAAACCTATTCACCGAACTCCGTTCAGAATAGTTTTTTTGTTAGCAATGGTTAATTTTTGCGTACAGTTATACATTAAATTTCCTCTCTACTACCGTTTAAACTTCTCACCTATAACAGTGGCTGCACCTACCCCATTATTCTAGGACTGCTTTTTGTATATGAAAATGAATTTGATGTGGTAAGTTTTAATATTAGTGTATCGGCCTATTATTCAACTTAAAGGTAAAAACATTGTCTGATTTGTAAGTTTTAATTTGTTGACATTTTAATTTTGATGCAAGTTAAAAATTTATTGTGAAATTTTCCAATTTAAATATCATCAAATCTGGTTTAAAAATTTAAATATAGAAAAATCCAATGTGCTTATAAAACAACGGTTCTCGTCTTTAAGTTTAATAATATACTAATGCAGTCTACTAATATCTCAAAATCTGTTTAAGTATAATTATAACTATATTAACCGATTTTGCTACATTAGCGGTAACATATTATGCATCAAGGAATTTAAATCTGTTATCAATTCTAATTGCCTACCACATCAATTGGAATAATTATTTAACTTAAAATTTTTTAACCAAATAGTTCTAAAATTATTAATTTAATTAATTATTTTATTTGTTATAAATATTTTAACTTTAATAATTTTTGTAAATGTAACCTATTTCAGTGAGTAATTCATTGTTAAGAATAGAAAAAATAAAAACTGATACATCTGAAGAAAATGAAAAATTTTCCGACAATGGTTTTGAAAATATCAACAGTTACAAAGATTAAAAGAATTTCTCCTCACTGAAAAATTATGTGTCATTATTTTATTATTTGTTGCATTATTATATTTATCAATAGTTTTTTTTTTATATTAATTAAAATAGACGGGCTGGTCTATAAAGTAAAAGTTGTTAATGAATAAATTAAAAGTGCCTAATAGCTAATACATATATTTTTATTATTATTATTGGTATTATAACCTATCAGTTAACTTATTAGTTACTTGTGCATGTTGAAAAAACTGCACAAGTCTATTCCCCCGGAAGTTGTTTCTCTCAAATATGTACCTTTACTTTTTCCGCCAAAAGAAAAAAATTTGTTTATTATTTGAATATTAATAGACGATTGTATTATAAATTATTATTATTGTTTTATAAAACAAATTTTTAACAATAATAATAAAATAGTACAAATAATAAGTTTAAACTTAAACAATAATAAATAAAGTGATCTATTAATAACATCTAAGGGTGAATAAAATACAATTGTATAGTAGGATCTATTGTATAAAAGAGTTTTGTTAAAATCCGAAACTATATATATTAATACTATTATTATTTTGCATTGAATCGAATTAAAAATTAAAAATTGATGGTGAGTTTCTCTCTGTTCTTGTAATTTAACAAAAAAAGATAAAAATAGTAATAGAAAATAATGTTATAGTAATTGTTTTATGTTAATTCGCAATTGGTAGACTTCAGATATTTTATAAAATTGTATAGTATTTTATGTAAGTAATTTACGGCCATAAATCCGTGTAAACTTGAAAAAGCATGTAACACAAATTCATATGAAGGCTTAAATCCAGCAACGTCGAGTCGTCGGCAAGAGGTTATTGATTTTATTAAAGGGGGTGCGTTTCTAAGGAAACGCTTACGATGACCCTCTGATACGTGCGGTCGCCGAACATTCACGACTTAGGGGAGAAGACATTTATATAAATGATAAACTTTTACCAACGCATTCTCGTGCAAAATTTCCCGTTACAATTATATATATATTATCATATCTACTTCCTTTAATCGGAGCTTGTGTTGGAAGTAGAGAATTACATATTGCAAATTACAAATTTAATTACACATAAATACTTATATATTTTACATATACTTATATATACAGCGTAAAAAAAAAAAAAACGGAATTATAACATTTTTAATAACGTTTAAGTGAAAAGGCATTATAAATATTGTAAAAGAATATATAAAACACTGTACTTCATGTCAGATAAATAGAGTACCTAACAAATAAAAAGGCGCGAACATTTATAGTAATTACATCAACCAGTTCTAAACCGTTTGAGAAAATATTTTTGGATATAATGTGACCATTATCGAATACTTTATCAGGAAATAATTATAATTTGACAATGCAGTATGATTTGACGAAATATTCACTAGGAGTACCGCTACCTAATATCCAAGCTACTACTGTAGAGCAGTGGTCTTCAACCGGTGGGTCGCGACCCATTTTTGGGTCGCGTGAGCTTTAAAATTGGGTCGCGATAAGTCCTTTTCTTAAAATGTAAATTAAATTTATAAAACTATATAAGGTGAAACAAAAATAATAATAATATAATATTATAATCATAATGGATATCAAGTATAATATTTCATATTACACTGGTANTTAGAGTACCATAATCGGCATAATCTACGAATATTATCGATATTATCAATGTTGTTGCTGTGTACTAGCTGTCTGAGAAGTAGGTATTATAAATGTTAGTTGCGTTATTATTCTAGTGACTAGAATCTAGTCGTATTTACGTATCCGTTAAAAAGTTTTTTTTCGTTTATTTCGCCAACTTTGCATTAATATTTTTTTGTAATTTAATAAAATGGATAAATTCGTTATTTGGAAAAATGGTCGAATTAATACGCACGAAGACATGCCAACGTTATCACAGGTACCTTCAACTTCAAACGCGGAGGAAAACTCCCACAAAAGAAAGAATTCCGAATTTATTTGGTTGAAGGTATGATGAAAATTATTTAAAATTTGGATTTTGTGCTTTTAATATGGGAGATTTAGTTCAACTACAATGTGTAGTCTGTGGAGAATTGCTCGCAAATG